GCTTCTCCAGCGGGCAGGGCCAGGCAAAAGGAGCCTGTCTCCCGGCCTACCCACCCTGGCCGGTTGCTCTGGGTAGGGCCTCTGGGAGTCTGGCCACCCTCACCTGTGTAACAAAAGCAGCACAGACTCCGTGGGCATCTCATCAAATACTGTACCAGAGACACGGGACAGAAAGAGGCGGCAATCGAACTTACCGTGTATCCCAGCTGGCCTCAAATTCATGGACGATCCTTCTGCATCTGTCTCTTGTGTGCTGGGATTACAGGCATGAGCCACCACTCCCCAGTCAATCTGTGTTAATTATTAATTATTTTATTGCTGCTGCTGCCCCTATTTCTGCTGCTCGTGCAAACAAGGGAGATTTTAAAAGTTATAGACTGGGTATCAGTTACACACATTGAAGAAATAAACTCCAGGCCAACCTTAGTGCTCACCGTGCAAAAAAAGAGGCCTTATGCAATTATTACGTGTTACGTGATCCCACAAGACCACCACAAGGGAAATCTCTGGTTATTTGTCTTTAAAAGTTTTTATTTGATTGATGATTGCTTGGTTGGTTGGTTGCGGGGTGGGGGGGGTGCATGTCACAGCACACAAGTGGAGGTCAGAGGATGACTTGGAGCAGTTGTCTCCGTCCACCGTGTGGGCTACAGGAACTAAACTCAGGGCGGTGGGGGGGGGGGGGGCTGGCAGCAAGAGCCCTAACCACTGAGCCACCTCCGGAGCCTGTTCTTCCTTACAGTTTTGTTTTATCCTTCTGCAAATGAGCTAAGGCTCAGGGAGGCTGAAGCACTTGTCCGAAGTCACACAGCACTGTGCAGAGCCAGGCAACCAGTTCAGCCCAGCCTCGTGGCTGCCAGGAGGCAGCAAGGAAGACCAGCGGGGGCAGGAGCTGGAGTCAGGCCACAAGGACCCACAGTGAGGGAAGCCAGCTGCCTAGGGTCACACAGCAAATCCACAGCTAGACTCATCTTCCCAGCTCAGTTTGACACTCACCCAGACTCAGCACACTCCCCAGTACTCATGGCCAAGGGGGTCCTCAGAAACATGCGAGCTCCCCGCATGGGACAACACAGCAACTTCTCATTGCAGTCCCCTGACAGATTAGGACTGCCCCAGGAGGCTGAGTGGTTGGTAGTGAGGCTTTGTCCCTCCTAAGATGGCCTACATTGGGTAGAGAAAAATCTTGAAACCCAGCTGCAGCAGGGCCAGAAGCCGGAACCACAAGTCTCTCTTCACTTCTGTCCTCAAGGTGCTGGTAGCTCCCTGGAAGTCAAGCAACCTCTCTGGGCCTCCCCAGACTAAAAGTACCACAGCCACCAATAACCACTCTGCTTGGCCTGGTGTCACAGCCTGCGATTCCAGATGGAAAGGGGTGGCTGAGACACCGGAATGATGAGTTCAAGAAAAAGGCACTCATTCAGTGAGACCCCCTCTCAAAGTAACTTTCTAAGCAAGAGTGGAGATGCAGTGTAATGGTAGAGGGTTTGTCTACCATGCTAGAAGCCCTACAGTCCATCACCAGCACTGACAGACAAAACCTAAAACTACTGCAAGCCAGTGCTTAGGCAAAGTCCTTGCAGGTGCTCTCTGTCAACACAACGATGCTCACAGACCTCCTGAACCAGGCACTGCAGTGACTGCCAGTTCTCAGGTGGGGAAACAGACGTGCAGAGAGGTTCAGTGGCCAGCTCAAAGCCACACAGACATCAAGTGGTGGAGTTGGGATTTGAACCTGGGCAGTCTCTCCAAACGCCTACTGTACTCTCATCCTGTGCTAAACCCCTCAGACCCAGGAAGACCCTCACAGTCACCTGCTTCCTGTCAAGCACACCACTGTCCTTTATAGTAAGGAACACAGGTCCCTGGTCCTCAGCGAAGTGAAGCTGGGGGTAGGCAGGTACTCAAACATGTGATCCCAGAATTTAGGAGGCTGGGGCAGGAGGGTTAAACATTCTGGATCAGCCTTGACTACCTAGAGAAACTATCTCAGAAGGCAAGTAAACAAAACGGGCTATAACTGGCACCACCAGCTCACAGCAGCATAGCCAGAGCCAGAGCCACAAGTCCCGTTTTCCAGACAAGGAAACTGAGGCTGTTTCTGGTTCATAATTCATGTTCTGCCTTCCCCACAGTCCACTTGTCCCACACAGATCATGGGCAAACTCCTACCCTCTCTGCAGCCCCTTTGTTCCAGGAAGGTCCTCCTCCCACCCCTCAGAAGGGCTGCCCTATTGTCAGCAAAGACCTGCTCAGCCTCCTCAAGAGAGCCCAATGGGACCAATGATTTGGGGGAGGGTAAGTTCCTGTGACTATAGTGACTTACAGAATAAGGACAGAGGCAAGGCCACCTCACTTCCTCCTGAGGTTCCTCCTGGGGTCCTTTACACCTGCGTCCCACCCCCTACATATCTACAGTCCCACCCACCCCCTGCACACCTGCTGTACTGCCCCCTGCACACCTGTCATCCAACCTCCTGCATACCTATTGTCCCACCCCTGCTGTCCCACCCCCTGCACACTTGCAGTTTACCCCTGCACAGCTGCTGTCTTCCCCTTGCCCACCGGCTGTCCACCCCTTGCACACCTGCTGTCTTCCCCTTGCACACCTGCTGTCCACTCCCTGCACACCTGTGGTTCACCCCTGCACACCTGCTGTCCACTCCCTGCACACCTGCTGTCCATCCCCTGCACACCTGCTGTCCACTCCCTGCACACCTGCTGTCCATCCCCTGCACACCTGCTGCCCATCCTCTGCACACCTGCTGTCCACTCCCTGCACACCTGCTGTCCATCCCCTGCACACCTGCTGTCCACTCCCTGCACACCTGCTGTCCATCCCCTGCACACCTGCTGCCCATCCTCTGCACACCTGCTGTCCACTCCCTGCACACCTGCTGTCCATCCCCTGCACACCTGCTGTCCACTCCCTGCACACCTGCTGTCCACTCCCTGCACACCTGCTGTCCATCCCCTGCACACCTGCTGCCCATCCTCTGCACACCTGCTGTCCACTCCCTGCACACCTGCTGTCCATCCCCTGCACACCTGCTGCCCATCCCCTGCACACCTGCTGTCCATCCCCTGCACACCTGCTGTCCATCCCCTGCACACCTGCTGCCCATCCTCTGCACACCTGCTGTCCACTCCCTGCACACCTGCTGTCCATCCCCTGCACACCTGCTGTCCATCCCCTGCACACCTGCTGTCCACTCCCTGCACACCTGCAGTCCACTCCCTGCACACCTGCTGTCCATCCCCTGCACACCTGCAGTCCACTCCCTGCACACCTGCTGTCCACTCCCTGCACACCTGCTGTCCACCCCTTGAAGAGCACACCCCACTGGCTACTATCGTCAGCCAGAGGATCTGTCCAAAGACAGATCAGCCAAACCACTTGCTGACCCAAGTGCAAAACAGGCATTTGTTTATAAGTCATTGTGATTTAAGAGATGTTTGTTACCCAGTGCAAACACAGGAAAAGTGAACCAACACAGGAGCCGCACACTTCCAGAAAGACTAGAGTGTTCACTGGCAGATGTCTCCTAATATACAATCTCTGGAAGGTTGGACTCAAACCCACAGACAACCTACAGGGGCTCCAGCCTTCCCTACTGTGGGCTGCAGGATACAGTCTGGGGACACTGACAGGACAAAGCCAACAGCTCCGCCTCTGTGAAGCTCAGACAGCTTCGCTCCCACAGGCGTGTTCGGGGACCTGGGCAAGCCCTCTTTATCTCATACTTCCTCCCACCTCCTGGAAGCACCAGTAGGAGGGGCTGCAGAGTTAAAACCAACCCTTCAGTAATAACTGTGCCCAACAGCAGGGGCCGTTCACTTCCACGCACACATTCTCGAACTGGAAATCTCCAGAGGTGTTTTTAACTTATATGTAAGGGTCTTCTATGTTGTTGCTAGTTCCCCCCAGCAATTTACTAAGCACCACCTTCTCTGCCAGTTAGGACCAACACACACCTGCCAAATCCCTCTCAGTCCTCGCAGCCACTCTCAGAGATAAACCCCATCATTTTCCTCATTCATAAAGAAGGAAATGGGCTCAGAGAGGTTAACACACCTGACTGCGGTCACACAGCAGAGAAAGCAGCAAAGCCAGGACTTAATCCTACCCCTCCAGCTCCAGAGCAGATCTGAAAGTAGGATTCCTAACTGACAAGATGTGATGGAGGCTCAGGAGGAATTAGAGTCTGTGTGTACGGTAAGCCTTGGGAGGACCATGAGGGGCTAAAGTGTGGCTCTCTGAAAGTCCAGCTGGGCACGTGTGGTCCACGCACTTCCACACGACACCGTACTTTCTCAACGCGCACATGCAGCATCCTACACTCAAATGCTCGTTCACCGTGGCTGACTCAGGTGTAAACAGTCAATGATCCCACCTTGAAAACATTTCTATTTCCAGTGGAGACACGGCTACAAACATTTCAAAGGTCACCTAACTGCACAATTACCAGAAGGGCAATAATAACTCAGGCCCCAAAGTCAAGTCCGTAATTGCTTCCTGATTTGGGTCATGTGACCAGAGGATTCCTGGGGACAGGAGATCTCCGGAGTTCTCAAGCCCAGGGACTCTTCCCACCCAAGAGGCTCCATGAGATATTCATCTCCTGGGAGGAAAATGATCCACCCAGCGACCCCTTACCCAGGCCAGCAGCCAGGGTGTGGACAGTGGGCAGCCACACCTAGCCACAAGTGGACACATGGAATTGGAAGGAGTGTGGCATTGGCAGCCAGTTCTACGTTCAGAACTCAGCCCCCACCACCCCCGGCTGCATATTAGTCAAAGCTTCCACTTCTCATGGGAGTGGGGGGTCACCAAAGCCAGCACTGCCTGCCACCAACTGTCCTGAGGGACTCAGCCCAGGTCCTGACATACACTGGGGTACATCAGTGCCTCTGGCTTTTTCTACATTCTCCTTGCCCTCCATGTTGCTTGGCCAGCCTCTCCCCCTTGGTTAACCTCCGGTCCCTCTTGTCGATTTTACCTCACTGTCTCCGAGCACGCATCAAGGTCCTGAGGGAAGTGGCAGTTCTGAATCCACCGTCCCGAAATCTGCAGTGGCTGGGGGCAGGAATGTGCACCTTCAGGCAGGGATCTGGTCCCCTCGGTCCCAAGTCTTCCGGGGCAGGAGACGCTGGGGTGTAAAGGTCTTTTATTCCCTCAGCCTGCCCTACACTCTGGGCAGGACCAGGAGTTAGGCCTCACCCACCCTCGACACTGTCCTACCTCCTACTCAGCCCTCAAGGCCCAGCTCAAGTGTCACCTTTGAACACAGATGAGCATACACACAGAGGCACACAGGCACACACACAGGCACATACAGACATACATGAGCCAGGTTCAGCAAGGCACCATCCACTTGGAACGCTTCTGATGAAGGCTATCATGACAACCCTCCTACCCTGAGCTCACACAATCAGACCCATCCCTGACACTCCCCAAGCCCCACCCCGGTGAAGGAGTGGAGGACCCCATCAGACCATACAGGCTATGCGATGACTCAGTGGGTAAAGGGACTGGTCACCAAGTCCCAGGGGTTGAGTTCCATTCCTGGCACCCTTCTCTGCCCCAGACTCTGATCCTCCTCTTGTCCCAGGCCATTGGCCCCTCCTCTGCCATCCCCACTCTGTCTTCCCAGACAGGCCAAGGGTTCACCCCTTCAGGATGTGACTTCAAGCCTGGCCCTTGACACAGTGTCTGGAGCCATTAGTTCACTGAATGAACTGCTGATGAATGGACACAGGCAACATCTGGGGCTCATCCTGTGTGTTGGTGAAATGTGGTGATGCTGAGAGGGGTCACATGACCAAGGAAAGACAACTGATCCCTGCACCCCCATCCCTCTCCCACCCCAGCTCAGGTGTGCCTAAACACTAACAGTCACCAGGAGTCCCGGAGGAGGGGTGTCTAGCTCAGAGTGTAGGACCAGGTCTACACCCCCAACATCACAAATCAACAAAGATTGAGGCAGGCTCACAGGCTGACTGGCTAGAGAGTCATCCCCGAGGCACAGATTCTGAGCTGCTCTGGGCCGGTGCACACTGTCTCCCTGGGACACCCCTGCGCCCGTGTGCGCGCACACAAACACACACACACACACACACACACACACACAGTGGTCCACACTGACTCCCATGTGCTCCTGTGACCACACACACACACAAACATACACACACACACACACAAACATACACACACACACAGAGGCAGGCCAAGGTGACCATGGGTGCAGGTCCAGGCTCTGCACTTCTCCGGCCTAAGTGAACTCCTCCATCCCTTTAAAGGGACTCCCCGGAACCCACCAGACACGGGTGTCTGCAGAGGCCAGCCTGGCCTCACGCCGGCCCTGCGGGGTAGCTGGGAGAAAGTTGGCGGCTGGCAGCCTCCACTTAAGTCCGGGTTACTGATTAACCAGCCCCAGCGGTTCTCTGTGCACGGCCTTGGAGCGGCAACTCGCCTCCGTGGAAGAAAGTCCAAGTTACTCATCTTTGTCACCGCGGACGGGGTAGTGCGCGCGCCACCCGGGAGGCCGCGACCCCGGGACAGGGCTCAGGCCCAGCGCCAGAGGCTGGGCCTTCAGGGACAGCTCTACTGCAACAGGCGCCGTCCCTCCCAAAGCAAAAGGCCACGGCTCCCCGGCCCGAGAAAGGGCAGCCCTGGCCTGCACGGCGCGATTCCGAGCCACGCGCGAGCCGCGGACGCGCGTGGGGGAGCGGGGCCAACTCAAAGCGTCCTCCGCCGTCATGCCCCGGCCGCAGATGCAACGGGATCCCCAAGTCTGCAGCGGGGACTCCGCAGGCGGCGCCTCCCGGCTCCCCGCTTCGCCCTCCGCCAACTTTGCTAACTTTCCACGCGGCCCCGCGGGCAGGAGTGGGCGTCCCCGCGCGCTCCCGAGCGTCCCTGCGCGCCCCCGGCGTCCCCGCGCGCCCCCGCGCCCTCCGCGTACCTACCGCAGTGACTCGCTGCGCCGCACCTGCCCGCCCGCACCTGCCGCGGCGCGCGCAGCCTCGCAACTGGGGGCGGGGCTCGGGCGGGAAGCGCCCCGTCGCCGTGGCAACCGCGCCCGACGGCGCCTGCGCACAGCAGCGAGGGGTGGAGCGCGGGCCTTGGAGCCGCGGGACTGAGTGAGGCGCGCCCCCTGCTGAAGAGACGCGGCATTGCGCAAGGATCCCACTGTGTGCCAGCCACCACCTGAAGCCCTACCAGAGGTCTTGCTACTGATCGTTCCTGGTTGGCTGCCTTGTTCACTAACCGTATCTACCAGAGTTTGCTTTTGTTCTTTACTTTCTCTTTAAAAGAAAGATTTCTTTTATTATTAATTACATGTATACGTTCATGTAAGTGCAGGTGCCGGCAGAGGTCAGAGAGGGCGACAGATACCCGGGAACTGGAGTTGCAGGAGGTTGCCTGGCACTCCTGTAGGGTGTTGGAAACTAAACTCTAGTATTCTACAAAAGTGGTGTAGTCCACCACGAAACAGCTCTCTCTGTCTCTGTCTCTGTCTCTCTCCCTCTACTTACTAAGAACCTTTTTGTGCTGGGCCCTGGGGACTCGGCTCTGAGGCAGCTGGCAGGATCCAGGTTCTCACGGGGCATCGCCCACACTAGGGAGAAACATTGCACGAGAAAATTGAATCATAGTTACGGCACTTGTTCCCAGGAGAGATGGCCCATATGACTAATGAGACATGGGTAGTGCCTTTGTTGTAATCCAGCCCCACTTCAAGGAAAGAAACAGGGACCCAAGCAGCAGTGTGGCTTCAGGAGATCTGTCTGCCACTCTCCTGCCTCCTCTGCCTCTAATTGTTGTTGATGGCGTGTGTGTGTGTGTGTGTGTGTGTGTGTGTGTGTGTGTACAGCTCACCCAATCCTGTGCATTTTGAACCTTCTGAAGTAAGGACTGACACCTTCCATAATACCTAGGACCCACCTGAGGCCCTTCAGGGCCCTGTGCACAGGAACAGAGCCCGGTAGTCCTATGGGTCATCTGATACCATGGTACAGTTATCAACTGAACCCATGCTGGCGAATGTCAAATATGACTGCCACTCCCAGGGGGAGGCCTTTGGGGCAGTTCGAATGGTTGTTTTCCAAGATGAAATTCCTCAAAGTTCACCTAAAAGCAGGTTTGTGTGCCCAGCATGGTGGCACACGCCTTTAATCCTAGCACTTAGGAGACAGAGGCAGGCAGATCTCTGAGTTCCAGGCCAGCCTGGTCTACAGAACAAGTTCCAGAATGGCCAGCACTACACAGAGAAACTCTATCTTGAAAAACCAAAAACATTCTCAAAAAAACAACATATGTAAAGTAAAATAAAAACAGTTTGTGTGCATTCTTCTCTCTAGAGATACTTCAGGGGACTTCTTAGGCAGTCACTTGATTCACAATGCCTACCTCAGGGTTGGGACATAGTAGGTGCTCAATGAACAGATATGCGGGGCCATAAATGGCCAGTCTGTGATACCCCACCATGTGCCGTGTCTCCCAGAACCTACAAGAAACTTCCTATCTCTCTTGTGCAGATCACTAGTTACAAGATATGTGTCAGGATGTTTCTGAGTAGTTGGATATTGGTGGTTCTCAGCTACCCAGCCAACAGAATCCTCCCTCCTGACACTGCCTGTCTAGCTCAGAATATAAGCAGGGAAGGGAACAAAGCAGTATCTTTGCCAACATCCCCACAGACCCCAGACATATCTCCCGTGACTACCCCATCCCCACTCTGCAGTCTGTCCACTCAAGCCAGGCACAGGGAAGACTGAGACTAAACAAACTACAACTCCCAGAGGCACCTGGGTTCTCAAGGGGCCAGACTTCCTGGGACACAGGTTGGACTCCCATTCTCTTGTAGGCCAGGTGAGAGATTGCCAGCCACACATGCCCAGGAATTACACCCTGAGCAGGGAGTGTCCCGTTCCCCATTCTAACCAGAACCAGCACCCCAGGCCCTGGCTTGTCTGTTCTGGTACAGAGAACAGCACGCTCCAGGGACTGTTGCAAAATCATTTATCTGCCTCCTCCAGGAAGCCTGTGGGGATAGCTCTGTCCAACATTATAATGATGGAGATTCCAGTGACTCTGCCCAGCCCCCATGCTGAAGACCCTGGGCACCTGGGTGGTCAACGGGGCTGCACAGACTGTGCAATATTGTCCTGTGGGGTGGAATGGCTCTACCTGCCCCACACACACACACACACACTGGATAGCCCTGGGAGCCACAGCCGTCTGGATAGCCCTGTGAGCCACAGCCGTCTGGCAGGTTTCATCCATTTTAATTTTTTGTTTTATATTGTTGCCAGGGTTTTACTACATGGCTCAGGCTGGCCTGGAACTTGTGCCAATCCTCCTGCCTCAGCCGCCCAATTGCTAGGATTACAGTCCTGTGTCCTGATGCCCAGTTTCTGCAGTGCTGAGGGTCAGCCTTCCTGCTCACTAGGCAAACACTCTACCCATGAAGCCACACCCCAGCCCTCCCTGTTTGTTTGCTTTTGGTTTTGTTTTTTTGTTTGCTTGTTTTGCCAGTAAAAGCCAATATAGTCTTTGAAATGTTTTCTCTTGACACCAAACCTTTGCTGTACTGTATGGAGGACCTTGCCCTCGGCTGGTCTATCCTTGGCTTAAGGACCATCCCTCCTGTTTTAGCTTTACAGTCAATTCATCCAGAAAGCCTTCCAGATTAAGGGACAGAGATGGATTCCATACAGACGTGAAATGTCTGAATCGTGTGTCCACCCACTAGAATGCCAACCCAGGTAGCATAACGGCCAGTTTCTTCTCTCATTCCTGGAGGTTGGAGCCCACAATCTGTCGCAGCACCTGCAAGAGAGCTGACCCTCAACAGGGGACCACACTTGGAGCCAGCATTTTCACAGGAGACAAACTAGGGCCCGATTGACAGCCAGGCATTAGCTGGCCCCCTGGTAGCACACCAAGGATGGGTCTTATTGTGGTTTGAATGTGAGAAGCCCCCACTGCACTTCATGCATTTGAATGCGTGCTCCCTAGCTGGTGACGTTGTCTGGGAAGGTTGGGGGGAGGGGCTGGGTCACTCACTGCAGGCAGACCCCTGGGCTCCATAGCCTGCTCCACTTCCTGTTTACTGCCTGCTTCGTGAGTGCCTTGTGACCAGCGGCTTCTCCTGCCACCATGCCTCCCCCACCATGCTGGGCTGTGCCCCTTGGGAATAAGACTTTCCCCCCCTGAAGTCTCTTTTGTCAGGCTGTTGCTCACAGACCCTCCCCCTCACAATCATCCTCCTGTTTCCCTGGTAACACACTGATTCCTAAGAAGGAAAGAGTGTCCCAGATGTGTCCTCCCCCGGCCCCCCCCATTAATTTCCCTAGGTTCTCTGCTGAGGCCCAGGGAAAGCTTCTCACAGGTAAAGTGACTCTGTGGATTTTCTTCTTCTTTAGTTCATTTAAATCTATTTTCAGAGAGTTTTTGGTCAAAACAAAAGGAACTTGAACTATACCTCCAATCTGGGGGGAGACATGACCAAAACTGCATTCTGAGACTGCAGGGACATATTGCGCGTTTTCATTTTTATTTTACTTATTTTCTATCTATTTATTTTTGTTTTCCAAGATAGTCTTTCTGTATGTAGCCCTGGCTGTCCTGGAACTCACTCTGTAGACCTGGGTGGCCTCAAACTCACAGAGATCCACCTGCCTCTGCCTCCTGAGTGCTGGGATTAAAAGTGTGCACCACCAGCACCCGGGTGCGGCTATAAATTTGTTGTTGTTGTTTTTCAAGACAGGGCTTCTCTGTATTGTTTTGGAGCCTGTCCTGGAACTCATTCTGTGGAGCAGACTGGCCTAGAACTCACGGAGATCCACCTGCCTCTGTCTCCTGAGTGCTGGCATTAAAGGCGTGCGCCACCAGCACCCGGCTGCGGCTCTGAATTTGTTGTTGTTGTTGTTGTTGTTTTTCAAGACAAGGCTTCTCTGTATTGCTTTGGAGGCTGTCCTGGAACTCATTCTGTAGAGCAGACTGGCCTAGAACTCACGGAGATCCACCTGCCTCTGCGTCCCTCCCAAAAGGCATGTGCCACCACCTCCCACCCACCATTGTTCTCTTGATCTCAATCCCATTGGTTAATCACCTGAATAAGAAAATGTTCCCCCCCACACACAAAGTTGGGACCCCAAGACATCTTAAAAAGATGGCTGGGTGGGGTGGGGTGGGGTGGACATGCGGCTCAGTAGGTAGTGTTTGTGAGCCCTGGGTTTGATCCCCAGGTCTGGGATGATGCTTCAGTACCATCCTTGTAGGATTCTGGATGGAGGCAGTGGGGTCAGAAATTCAAGGTTATCCTCAGCTTTGAAGAGAATCCAAGGCAAGCCTGGGCTAAGTGAGGCTGTGCTCAAAATAAAATTAAGTGAGATAAGCACTCATATAACCAAACTGCCCCACCGTGCTGAGGCTCAGGGACCCTCACGGATGAGCCTGTCCACTGGCTGGGTTCCTAGCTGGAAGCCTGACTCCCCAAACCGACGCTCAGGCATACCCCCTCTCTGTACCTGAGAGCTCTAACTGACCAACTCCGACCCTCTCCCTGCCACACTCCTCCTCCAGGCAGCCTGCCCGCCCTGGTTCTTTCTCTCAAACTCCTATAAAATTGTCTACAAGTTTCCTTCTAAGTCCACTTTGGAGCATTTTTATCTATGACACTAAAAACCTACAACGAGGACCCCGAGTTCCCCAGTAAGAATGGTACTACTGAGATTAGCGGTGTGCCAAGCCGGGTGACTCTTCAGTGAGAGCCACAACCCTGTAAGAGGTGATGCCCCTTCAGAGATGCAGGCAGATGAGGGAGCTGAAGAACAGAGAAAGCACATAAATGGCTCAAAGTCGCGCAGCAAATTCAGGCTGGCAAACTTTTGCACATGCTCGGGACTTACTGGGGATTTGATGCCAGCCCGACAAGAAGGAAGGAAGAGAGACTTGGAGTAAAGGAATGGGAACAATCACAGGAAATGCCTTGCGAGGTTGGCCAAACATCAGCCTGAAGCTCCCTGCCCTGGCAGGAGTCCAGAGCCGCCCCGGGAATCAGCCCACGGCAGGAACGTGGGGCGAGAGCGCCCTCTGCTGGCATCCGTAGCCACTGGCTTCCTGTGGAGCCAGGAGAACGCAGGGAGTCACAGCCTGTGTCCCAAGCTAGGTCTGGCCACCCATCTTCAATTAGTCAATTAAAAGAGCCAACTTAATTGTAGAAAGAAGAAAAAAAAAAGGAAATTTATTCAGTGACCGCTTTGGGAAGAGGGACAAAGAGAGGCAAGTTCATCCCTCTTGCAAAATGATTAACCCAACTGGGCTTGTGGACGGTTTATACCCTTTCATGGAGGTTGGGGAGAGTCACAGGACCCTAGCCTGAGTATCCTGCAACTCCAACTCTGCCCTAACTGCACATAAATCCTGGAAAGGGCTAGAGTGAATAGGTCATGGAAGACTAGGGAGACTGGATCCGCCTATGCAGCTACAGGGAAGCCCACATCTCTGCTGGGTAAGGACTTTCCAGTGCAACCTTTTACCGGAGCACCCACCCCCTGTAGGTACCTAACCAAGTATGTTCTTTAAGGGAGTCCAATAAATTCACTGGAACCTCAGGAGGAAGATAGATGCTGTTTATGTCTCCCCCTGGGAAGGAATTTTACTAACACCATTTTTTGGTCCTGGAGTGCAAACTAACTTTGACTAATGGACGAAAGACATGCATGTCTAAGCAGTGCCTGTCATGCTGTCTGTCTCTCTCACCGTTGACCGGTTCATGTGTGGGCTTCAGTCTCATCCTACTGTGTAGTTGTTAGAACTGCTGGAATCTCATTATTTATTATTATTGTTATTATTATTATTAGCTTTTTCAAGACAGGGTCACCATCAGGCCATGTCACTGGTGACTGAGCCAGCCAAGTTGGGGTGCCAGCGTATTTACCCAGGAGAGGCCAGCAAGGACAGGCCAGCCGAGACTGGGCTGATCTGCCGGGTGTTCCTGGGAGGACAGCTAGTAATGGCAGATCTGGGACCCAAAGGTTTCCAGTGCCTTCTACAAACATCGATTTCAGGAAAGGAAGTTGGATACATGAGTGAGGAAACAGGAATTCACCTCAGGAGTCCCAGGGTCCTGCCGCTGGAGCAGCCCTCATCAAAGCTACACACTGGACGTCTGAGGTCGTGCTTCCTTGACTGGGGGGAAACAGACTGCTTTGATGATGCCAACGGGCGTGCACAGCTCTGCCATATGAGTGTTTCCTGAGCGTGAGTGTGACACCTCGTGAGAGGCTAATTAACTGAGGTTTATTTCCCTGGAGTGAACTATGCCCTAAGCTTCACCACAGAATTCCAGTCACGTGCGTCTGAACAATTCCTTATTTCTGTTTGAGCCATAGTTTTCAGGTGCACTTTCATCATTTAGAACAAAGACAAGGTTCGAGCACCATATTTAATAATTTCCAAGCCTTCTCTTGCCCAAGAAGCCCCCTCCCCTTCCCCCATCCTACTTGGGGCCGGAGTTCCCCTCTTGGTCCCACCCATCAGCCAGCACAGAGTGGAAAGCTATTGACTTCAGAAACCAGGAAGGAAAGTGCACTTGTGTATACACTCCCTTCTCAGACCAGTTCCTCATGTGACCCTGCTTTGCTCACCAACCCGAATGTGATCGTTAAAGGGAAAGAGACCTTTTAAAAGCTCACAGACTTATGTTTCAGGCCACGGTGAGAAGGTAACCTTGGAGAGGCCCGACCTAAGGTGTGGGGCCCTGGACAGAAGGGCTATCTGAGGTGAGGAGAGGGGAAGGAGCTGGGCTGGCCCCAGGCATCACTTAGGACCCCCGGCAGGTTTTGGGGCTCTGCCACAGGAACTGTGAAGTAGCAGGCACACACACACACACTTGTGTGCTTGTTTCTATACGTGGTCTGGAGCCTGAATGCAGGACGCAGCCACAGTTTTAAATCATCTTTGCAAAGGAACCCACACCTCCAAATGTTAAGCGCCTCTGCGAGTGCCTGTCTTTGCAATTGGAGACACTGAGACCTTGAACCATTGCATCATTTGTCCCAGATGACACAGCCAGCAGGCCTGGCTGAGACAGGTCCTATCGAAAAGAGTCCCACATCTGGAAGGACCCCATCCTGGCAGCCCGGTGCCCTTCCTCGGGGCTTTGTCCCATGCAGCTCTGCCAAGCATATGGTTCAATGGCCACAGCCTGCTGCTCAGCCACTACTTCCTCTGACCCAGGTCCAGATTCAGACTCTCCTAATGCCACGCTACCATCGCATCCGTGTCCCCACCCCCCCATTGCCACCACCACTTTCTTTCATACTCCAAGTCCATACCCTCAGCAAATCTGGTTCAGTTGACCTTTCACCTTCAGGGTTGCTGCATAGCTTGACCACTCTGTCCAGACTGGAGCTCCACCCCCCCCAAGCCCCTTTCCTCTGCATTCCACCCGCTCATATGGCCTCTGCTTCTGCAGATGTGCCAACATATGCTTGTCTCAGGGCCGTTGCGCCTGCTCCACAGTCAGCCTGCAGGGTCCCCCAGCCCCACCTCCCACACAGCTCCCCATCACCACCTTTAGGTCAGACTTAGCTTTTTCATGAGCTTTGTAAGCCTTTTCCACACAGGCTACTTCCCTACCCCATGACTTCCTATGGCACTGTCTCACACCCGCTTTATATATTGACTTATTTCCTCTCTTCCCCAGTCAGGGGCAGGATCCGTGGGAGAGAGGCTGTGGCTGACTTGTTCGATGTTCAGTTCCTATACCCTGAATAGACCCTGGGATGTACAAGATGCTTAATAACTATGGGATGGATGGAAGGATAGCTGCATGCATGCATGGGTGCATTGGATAGGTGCATGAATGGATGGGTGGATGGATGGATGGCTAGCTGCATGTGTGAGTGGATCCATTGGATAGGTACACGAGCAGATGGATGGATGGATGGATGGATGGATGGATGGATGGATGGATGGATGGATAAGTGGATACAGAGTCCACATTATGGCCCTGTCTTGCTTATATGACCCTAAACTCCTTGAAGAAACAGATTATGTCATATTCTCCATTGAGATTGAGGGGCAGGGGTCACTGTGGGCTCAGGACTTAATAGTTAAAGCAATGGCCGGGTGGTGGTGGCGCACGCCTTTAATCCCAGCACTCGGGAGGCAGAGGCAGGCAGATCTCTGTGAGTTCGAGGCCGGGCTGGACCGACAGCCTCCAAAACAATGCAGAGAAACCCTGTCTCGTAAAAACCAAAAAAAAAAAATAGTTAAAGCAATGGGGTCCAAACACCTTCAGTATCTAGACAAGGACATCCAAGTCCAGAGAAGAATATGACTTAGCTTCACAAAGGAAGTCCCCAGCTATCACTTCCATGCCCTTCTTCCCTCCTGAGATTGTTGGGGATAGACCTTGGTTCTTGGATCATCTTTGTTCCCTGACTGGAGCTGGTGGAACAGTTGCTGATGCCCTAACTGTGGCAAAATCTGGAGGCCACCTGCTCTAAAGCCTTAGTATCTCCAGGAGCTTTGGACTGAGAGACAGGAGCCAGCTCTCTAAATTTGAGTCTGAGCCTCAACTTTACACCTGTAGATAGAACCGCATCACTCACCAGGTGCTAGCCCACCAGGGCCAGCAGGATGGCTCAGTCGGTGAAGATGATCACTGGCAAGCCTGCTAACCTGAGTTTTACCACTGGGCTCACAGAGTGTAAGGAGGGAATCATTTCGCTTAAGTTGTCCTCTGACCTCCACATACACACTGGGACACCCACTTCGCATACACATAATTGTCTTTTGTTTGTTTGTTTGTTTGCTTTCACTAAATTGAAAAGTCAGATCTAGATAGAGCCTGTTTCATTCAGGCTCCCTGTAGGTGGACACCGGTAACTGGAGCCTGGCAGAATGTGCTTTGAGGCTGTAGGGCCTCGCTTAGCTTTCTGGGCATCTGTTCAGTAGCTGTGATTTTTCCAAGATGACACTGAGGCTGATCTAGTTGTTTCAAGGACCGAGAAACACCAGAGTGCCCTGGGACAGTGGGTGATGGGGCTGCAGGGCTCCACTCCCAGTCTCTTGATCTGAAATTACACCCCTGAGGTCAGCTGACCCATGGGAAGTGTGGGTTTTGGTGAAAGGGGAAAAATAAGTCCTTTGTCACCCAAGGGATGATGCCTCACGTGCTGGCTAGGAACCTCAGACAGAGTCCTAATCCCAGTGTGAAACTCTCTCACAACTGGACCGTGCCCTTCTGCTCAGGCCGATTTCTCCCCATCCCCACAGACGTCTCCCCTTCCACTTGCCAGGATCGAGACACACCCCTGAGCCCAGATGTCCAGCTCCTCCGCATCACGCGCTCTGGGATCTGTATGCTTCTTATACACGTGGAGAAACTATAACCTGCAGCTGTGACCATCTTGAACTGGATCCCAGGTGAGAGGCTAGGATTCCCTGCCATGTTTAAGTACTGACTGGGCTCTGAGAATCCCCCAAGTCGTACAGCTGCATCCTCAGGACATCTGCCATCAGAGGGGAGCCAGCTCTGACTTACCTACCCCTGAGAGAGCTTGAACAGGCTCCCCTGCCACCGCCAGCAGGGTGAGACTTCTTCCAGAAGACATCCTTTGTCACTTAGGTAAGGCTCTACTTCAACCCCCTTGCTGTTTTGCTTTTAATTTAATTTTGCTTTTCTTTAGAAAACAGGCCACGATTGGGGTGTACTCCTCACGGCTTCCCTGCCTGGAAACTAAATCCTAAAAGTCCTGTGTTGATGGTGTCTGGAGGTGAGGCCACCGGGAGGTCAAGGTGGGCCAGTGAGGCCAGGAGGGTGGGGCCCCAGGATGGTTGGTTAGCGGCTTTGTGAGAAGAGGAAGGGAGAGCCCAGTCAGTAAGTGCTTATGTGCAAGCTGAAGGACCTGATAGCCCCAGAACCCATGTAAAACATCCAGGTGTTGCTGAGTATGGGCACATACCTTTAATCCCAGCAGAGGCAGAGGCAGAGGCAGAGGCAGAGGCAGAGGCAGAGGCAGAGGCAGAGGCAGAGGCAGAGGCAGAGGCAGAGGCAGAGGCAGAGGCAGAGGCAGACCTACCACTGAGTTGAGGCCAGCCTTATTTGCATATAGAGTTCAGTACAGTCAGACCCTGCCTCAAAAAATGAACAAAGAAAAAACAGGTATAGTGTATGCTTGTAATCCCAGCACTAGGAAGGCAGACCTAGTGGGTAGACCCTAGGGCTCAGTAACCAGCCAACTTAATGAACAAGCTCCAGGCTCCAGGGAGAGATCCTGCCTCAAAAAGAAAGAAGAAAGAAGGAAGAGAGAAAGAGAGAAAGAGAGAAAGAAAGAAAGAAAGAAAGGAAGGAAGGAAGGAAGGAAGGAAGGAAGGAAGGAAGGAAGGGGGAAAAGGTGAATATTCCTGAGGAATTACACCTGAGTCTTACCTCTGGTCTCCGTATGCATGTATGCATGTGCCTACATGTTCATGCATGCCCACATATACATATACACACATGCACACCATAAAACAATGAAGGAGGAGGAGATGATGATGACGAAGATGAAGGAGAAGAAGAAGAAGGAAGGAAGGAAGGAGGAAGAGGAGGAGGAAGGAAGGAAAAGAGAAAGAAGAGGAGGAGGGAAGGGGAGGAGGGAGGTAGACTGGACATCTTGCCACAGGGTGCTCCTGGTCTTCCCAGTCCCCAACATCATGAATCAAATGACTATATATATATATATATGTATATATATATACATATATATATATGACTCAGTCTGCAATATTGTATTATAGCAACAGAAGGTGAACTGAGACAATGATGAAGTCTAGCAGACTTCAAAAGCCATGGGTCCACATCCCCAAATTCTCACAAGAATCCTGCTGGAGACTGAACATCTCCCATAGTTCCTAGCATGGAATGCTCACCTCCACATGAAGGTATGAGGAGATGGGGCTCTTGGTAGCAACAAGAGTCAACCTGGAAACAATGCTATCCAGACGGAATCCACAGGCTCCCAAGAACTTCAGAAGCAAACGCCTCCTGCACCAGCTGCCAAAACTCCACCAAATCCTAGTTCACCCCAAACAATGGACAAGTCCCAAGCCCTCCACAGAGGAGTTAACTGGTGGGACAGAGACCCAGCCTGGAGGCACGGGACTTCAGGGACGCCACTCTGCTGGACAGCCTGGAGGTACGGGACTTCAGGGATGCCACTCTGCTGGACAGGGCTGTTCTTTTGGACAAGGGAGACATTTTCTTGTTGTGATCAACTACCTGACTAAAGGCAATTTGAAAAAGAATGGGTTTATTCTGGCTCCCAGTTTGAGGGTGCAAGTGTTCATGGTGGCAGGGAGGGGCACGGTGGCAGGAGCGGCCAGCTGCAGTAGGAGGTGGAGAACCATGAAGCCTGCTGCTTAGCTCACTTCCTCATTTCTCTCTCTCTCTCTTTGTTTTTTGAGACAGGGTTTCTCTGTGTAGCCCTGGCTGTCCTGGAACTAGCTCTGTAGATCAGGCTGGCCTTGAACTCAGAGATCTGTCTGCTTCTGCTTCCCAAGTGCTGGGATTCAAGGTGTGCACCACCACCTGGCTTCACTTTCTCATTTTTATTCAGCCTAGGACCCCAGCTTCATGTCACCCATGTTCAGGATGGGTCTTCCTAATCTAGATTACCCCTCATGGAGACTTGTTGATTCTGGATCTTGTCAGATTGACAGGAGACCTGGGTTGAGAAAGGCATGAATGCGTGAGTGTGTGAGTGGATGGGGCCTGGTGTGTCCCTGGGTCACCTCACTGTACCCTCTTCACCTCTCCCCTTGTCTTGATCCATTAGGTCAGCCACACTCCTAATGGAGGTCGGTGTGCGGGCTGCTCTAGGGCTGTCCCTCACAGGCATGTCTGGCCTTGGCCTCATCTCCCCTGCCTGGTTCCAGAGCCCATCCTTCTCCTACGGTGTCTTTGCATACTGCTCCTGGCCACAGGGTGACCACTGGAACCAGAGCTGTGCGACCTTTGGGTCCCTGAAGGACATGCCAGGCTTGGCCTGGAAGGTGAGACACAGTTCTTCCGGGGCTGCTAGCTCCTGAAAAATGGGTTCTGGGAGTCCTTAGCTTACACCATTTGTCCCAGTGACTGAGCACACAGGTTCTTAAGCCCAGAAACTATCAGGAACACCCCCAAAGAACTTGGCAGGTCCTGGGCTACACCTCAGAGTTTTGGGCTCTGCTGGCATCAGGCAGGGCATGGCTCTGTGTGGAGGCAACTCTTAGCCCTCAGAGAACCTTTGTGCAAGCGAGGAAAATTCACCTTCTTCAAGACACCATACTCTCTGGGCAGTGGTTCATGCTTTTAATCCCTGCACTGGGGAGGCAGAGGTAGGTGGATATTTGTGAGTTTGAAGCCAGTCTGGTCTACAGAGCGGGTTCCAGGACAGTCAGAGCTACACAGAGAAACCCTGTCTTGAAAAAAAACAAAACAAAGCATCATACTGCCCCCTGCTAGGAAATCACCGTTGTCAGTAAGCAAACCCGTGGTGGTTCTGCAATGTACAACTCTCACACCCTGATCTGCAAAGTGCAACTCGAACACCCCGACTTGACTTTGCCCTAAGCACTGCTGGGTTTTAACAAATGAAAGATGAAGTGTTCGGGTCTTTATGGTTATGCCTGTCATGGAGATCAGCAGGTGGGGGGGGGAGGGGGGTGAAGAGCAGGTACTTAGTCCAGCACCAAAGAGAAAGATTATACAGCCTTTAAAACTGATCACAAAGGTGGCATTGCAGAGTAGTGGCTTCTCTTAGTGATCCTGGCAAGTGCTTAGTAAGGATAGGATGTAGTGGTTCATTGACCTGATTAGCTGTGTGTCTCAAGGCATAGGTCTTACAGTCTCTGGATCTCTGTTTGTTGGTGGGGGAAGTGGGGCTATAACAACACATGGCTGTTGGGAACCTCTCGGGAACTCACTAGGCAATAGGCAGAGTGATTGCCATGTACCGAATCCTATCCCCCTTTCTTCTCCCCCAAAGGTCTCAGCTGCGATGCTTCTGGAAGGCTGGGTCCTGCTGGCCATTAGTGCTCTTCTTCTTTTGGCCTGGGCACTAGCCCCAAGAAGGCTGTATCCCTGGAGGGGCTCTGCTACAACATCCATGGTGCAGGCAGCAGCAGGTAGATCTTGGAGGTGAACCCCGGGGTTGTGAACTACTTCCCGTCCTTTATGGGACTCGGGGACAAGAGGACACACGATGTTGACACCCACACCTGACCTTAGCTGACCTAGTCCTGTCTGCCCCTACATTTCTTAGCTGACCTAGTCCTGTCTACCCCTACATTTCTCTTTGGTCCATCCACTCTGTACCGTGTTTACCAGTGCTACCATTGCACACTTGGATAGGCTGTGCACTGCCCAAGGATGCTGAACCAAGAGCTAAGAAGATGCTGGGTCTAGTCCTCACTTCACTTCTGTTTCAGTGGAGGAGGGTTGCTCTCTCTAGTTCACTGGGAGTCTCTGGGTGAGGTGGCCTGAGCCCCACAGTGGCTCTCACCTAGTTCACCCTCCACCCCTCTCACCCAAGTCAGAATAACAAGGACCCAGCTCACTCTTCCTCTCCTGCCCTGGCACACAGGTCCCCCCACCTCCCATCCCCCATCCTCACCCTCCCCACCCATCCCCGCAACTCCTTCACTCACAGACAGGCCCAGCTGAGGGAAACCAGATCCAACCAGCTGACTGGCTTATTCCCCTTCCAAGGGCTTCCCATGGCAGGCAGAGGGAAACCCAAGTCTCTCTCTCCTGCCTCAGCCCTCCCTGTCCTGGTCTCACCTCTCCAGCTGCCTATTCTCCTCTCTGCGGCTGTAATCCCACACTTACCACCAGTCTCCTCCCCTCTCTGCAGGGATCTGCTTGGACCTTACTTCTGAGCTTCAAACTGCTTTCTCCTTCTCAGTAGGAGGACCCCCCATGGTGTTGGCTCCTTTTGTATTTCTAGCCTTACCATACCTCCAAAGAGCTTCTTTTGCCTTCATTTTTTTAATAGATTCTTGATCTTTATAGAGTCGGTGGAAAGAATACACCTAGATACAAAGCTCCCCAGGAATCTGCATTTTGACACCCCAGGATTCTACTCTGATGTACTGGTGGTGACAAATTGAGCAGAAACAAAATATCACTCTCTGCAGGGGCTCTTTCCTGGGGCTGGATTTTAAACCAAACATTAGCAAAGCACAGTGCTGAAACTCTGAAAAACAATTTGGGCATAGTGTGTGTGTGTGTGTGTGTGTGTGTGTGTGTGTGTGTGTGTGTGTGTGTGTGTACAGGAGGATGTGTAGGTGAGTGGATGGGTAGTTGGGAAGGTAGGTATATGAGTAGATAGGTAGATGGTTGGATGAGTGGATGGATGGATGGATGGATGGATGGATGGATGGATGGTTCGATGAGAGGATGGATGGTTCGATGAGAGGATGGATGGTTAGGTGGCTGAATGGATAGGTAGGTGCATGGAAGGATAGATGAACTGATGGTTGGATGGGTTGGTGGATAGGTGGATGGATATGTAGTGTTGGTAGGTGTGGCAGTGTGCTGGTTAAGTCCTGGGATGATAGATAATCCCAGAAGCTTTTGCCCAAATACTGAATTTCCTTTTCTGCTGCCCCCAGCAACCTCCACCCTTGTAGGTCTGCTGGTTTTTCCAGTCACTCTGGAAAAGTGTCCAAAGAAGTCTGTGAAGGTTCCTCCACATACTACAGCGGAACATGCCAGCTAAGCTGGGGCTATTCCATTACCATCCTCAATGTGGTCCTGACCAGTCTGCTTGTTGTCATTGGATGGCCTCGAATGAGCACAGTCCAGAGGACAGCTACCCTATCCTCTAGTGACACTTGGGGAATCTCCCTTGTGTCAGAATAAGCAAATGACCATCACCCAGGAAAAGAGAAAGACAATCAGGAACTATCTACTCTACAGTCATATGAAATTGTTACGCACACAGGTTCAAATCTCACTTCTTCTGCTTCCATGTTGTGTGACCTCAGGCATATCACTTGCCCTTTCTGGACTAATCTATTACTGGGTAAATTGGAGGTTGGCATAATGCCTGCTTTATGGAGGGGGTTGTTATGAAGGACTTTGATTTGCCTTATGTAAACGGAGCATGTTGTCCATGTCTGGCACAGAGAGCTCAGCAAACATTTGTTGTCACCGTGTCCCTGACTCACAGAACTAAGGGAACTAGGGTGGGAATTAAATATATGGATAGAAAGTCCACAAAGCAACCCTAGAAAGATATCAGTCTATTCCAATTCTTTGCTTTAGTTGTTTATTTGTTTTGAGACAGGGTCTCATTATGTTGCCCTGATTGTCCTGGAACTCTCTACATAGACCAGGCTGGCCTCAAAGTCACAGAGATCTGCCTGCCTCTGCCTTCCAAGTACTGGGATCAAAAGCATGTGCCACCATACCAATCTAATCTTACACTCTTTCCACAGGCAAAACATGGTTTCTGTCTTCCCTTATAATCCCTCCTCTCTTGGGGAGCTTGACAGTCTATTTCCCATGAGCTATTTAGTGAATCTGTTGTGTACAGGGGATGCTGCTCCCTGCTGGGTGGGGCTCAGGACCTGTCCTACCCTCCATATAAGTAGAGCACCCACAAGGAAACTTTGCTGTTCTGGGACCTTCCATCTGGTTCTGATGTCTGTCTATCTGGACGTAAGGTCCTCCCAGACTCTGCTTCAAGCCAAAAAGATGAGATAGAGCATGTCCATAATCACAGCACTTGGGAGGATCAGGAGTTCAAACCCAGCTGCAGCCAGCATCTGCTGGAGAAGAAGGTCAAGGCTAGCCTGGGCTACATAAAACCTTGTCCAAGCCCAGTTTCCCAAATGCCGGATGTGGTCTCACACACCTTTAATACCAGTACTTGGGAGACAAAGGCAGAGGAATCTCTTGAGTTCAAGGTCAATTGGTCTAGATAGCAAGTTCCAGGACAACCAGGGCTACACATTGAGACCTTGTCAAAACAAAACAAAACAAAAACCAAAGAAACAGCAAAGTAACTAGATGCACACTTAGGTTTTCCACTCAGTTATATTTTCTCTGAATAGAACCACCTCTTCAGGAGACACAAGACACTTGGGCAACACTAAAAAGAGAACTCCCTGGGCAGGGGGACCACCCCCCTAACACCCAATTCCAGGACAGGAGAAAACACGACACACAGACATCAGCTGGTAAGTGGAATAAATACGAGGCACTCGAACCACAAGCACGTGCTCGGGAGGCACGAGGGGGTGGAGGGAGATCTTGTGCTATACTTCACACTGGTCAGTTACAAAAATAAATAAGGGTCAAGAGGGCTGGACCTGGCTGTGCTAAAATACTACCTTTGTGCCAGGAGCCCTGCTGCAAAATAAACTTTTGTCTGATGGTCCTTTCTTCTCCCATCTTGGGAACCTGGGGGCTCTGGCTAGGAGGCAACCATGGACATCAGGTCCCCTCCCTCCCTGCGGCCCCAGCACAAATGGGGCTGGCTGTCCCTGGAGATCCAGTGAGGGCTCTCTCTGTCCACCCTGCCCACTGAGTGGAGGGCAGAGGTTCTGACTCAGGAGGTGTGACAGAGGGAAGGAGGATGTCACAAGCCTGCAGAGTAGGACTCAAGGCTGCAGGTGCCCTCTGGAGATGTTTCACACCCCCTCTCTATGAAACCCTACTTGCCATTCCTTGATGGCCCCAAAGGTTGCAGGTCCTGGGAATAAGCTTCTACTATGATGCTTGATGTCTGCTGTACCGCAGACCACTCTACTGAGGGACAGTGAGCAGATACAAAAGCTCAGAGTCAGTGTGTGGAGTGGCAGGTCTCAGCATGAAGATGTAGAGGAATCATTTTCAGGCCCACACCTGGCCCCAGCTCACCATCATGGAACACAGACCAATCTTGCCTTGGGCTAACCCCTAGTGAACAAAGTGCTTAGAGAAGAGATAGTTTACCTGAGCAGGTAACACACACGTGCGCGCGCACACACACACACACACACACACACACACACACACACACACCAAACACACACACCTGCAGGCTTCCACAAGAGCCCAGGCCCACAGGTCATGGCTGTGAGGTCTCCCCTAAAAGAGGGCAGTAAGGGTAGTAAGGAGCTCCTACCACCCACCTACAAACACTTCTCCAATCCCCAGGGCACTCACAGGATGCCTTCCTAAAAAGAGTCTCCTGGCAGCGGGCAGAGAAAAGTCAGAAAACACTCCAGCAGGGCTGTGGCAAGCTGTGTGCCTCTGACGGGCAATGAAACAGACCTCGGGTGACTCAGCATGAAGAGAACAGACAGGGATACGCTGGTAGCCCCTCCTTCAAGCCAGCGGTTCTGGTGGGGCACACACTGCTGCACAGAGACATTTGGGTCACCTTGGGAGATGGTACAGGTGACACCCGGTGGTTCGAAGGCAGGGGTGATGCTCAGAGACATCTAGGACTTCAAATGTGAGTAATGCCCAAAGGAAACCCTGCTCCAAGCCAGCCTGGCAGGAATATTCTGGAACACCTCCAGAGGCCCTTCCTTGCCAGGTGCAGGGGAAGAAAGACCTAGAGGCCTCTCCTGTACAGACAAGGAAGGAACAAGGGAAAAGAAGAGGAACAGCAGGCCCAGAGGCCACCTCTACTTACTCACAACCCCAGCTCCCAAGAGAGGGAAATCCCAGTCTTGGGCAATCTTTGGTCAAACAGGAAAACATAAGGCTCAGCTGGGCTCTTCTCTACCCCACTGCCCAATGGCCAAGGTCAAGAGTATGGCTCTCCACACAGAAGTCCACACTGGTCCACAGGCACCGGGACCTCGTGCTGGGCTGCAGGAGGGAAGGGGCGGATGACAGCAGGGATGCCTGGCCTGGCTGTTGCAGCCTTCACTTGTTCTCGATCAGAATCTGCACTTTGTGAACAAGGTCCCGAGCCAGCTGCAGGATCTGCTTGGCGTTGTGCCGCTCAGCCATTTCTGAAAGAGAAGACACACTCATGAGTGGCCTTGTGTGTCAGCCCCGAGACATTCCTCTAGCTCCTGGTGCTCCCACTACAGAGTGACTCTGAGAGGAGTCCTGCACCTCCAGACCTCAACTGCCCCATCTATAAAATGAGGACCATAACAGGAAGCCACTCCATGACATTACCATGGAAACAGAAGTGATGCTGGATCAAAGTGTGCTAGGGGAAGACTGGTTCCTCCACCCTTCCATGCAGACAGAATGTCTGTAAACACTTTACAAAGTCCTTGTCAGGGCAGACACAGCAGTGCATGCCTGTAATCCCAGCACTGGGGAAGCTGAGGCAGGAGGATTGAGAGTTGGAGGCCAGCCTGGGATACGTAGCAAGATTTAGTCTCAAAAATATAAAGTAGAATAAAGTCATGTGGCAATTTTTTTATCTTTAAAAGACTTTTATTTATTAGGTATACAGGGTTCTGCTTGCAGGCCAGAAGAGGGCACCACACCAGGTCTCATTGTAGATGGTTGTGAGCCACCATGTGGTTTCTGGGAATTGAACTCAGGACCTCTGAAAGAGTAGTCAGTGCTCTTAACCTCTGAGCCATCTCTTTAGACCCCAGTGTGTCAGATTCTTAAAGATTCTATGGGAATAAAGAAAACCATGGTCGGTGGAGAGAAGGAGAGGGAAGAAATATCAAGAGTCACACAAGATGCTTAGACCTTCAAAGCTCTACATACAGCAGGATAATTCGAAGCTTGACTCTAACACAGAGAATCATTTCATAAAGAGAAAGAAATCTAAGACCCTGATTTCTAAAGCATTTGCTGAGGTACCCCCTGGAGTTCCTGGCAAACACTTGGAGACATTATGTGATATGCAGTCACATTTGGAAAAAGAAGGAAATTTAAGGGATACAAACCAAAGAAGTCAAACTAAGGTTGTGGTTCACATCTTGAATCCCAGCACTCGGGAGGCAAAGGCAGGTGGATCTCTGAGTTTGAGGCCAACCTAATCTACAGAGTGAGTTCCAGAACAGTCAGGGCTACACATAGAAACCCTGTCTCAACAAACAAACAAAGAAGCCAAACTATTCCTGTTTGCAGATGACATGAGACTGTATATAAAAGATGCTAAATATCCTATCACAATACTTCTAGAACCATCAGCACTTTCAGCAATGTGGCAGGATACCTAATGAATTTGCAGAATCAGTAGCCTTTCTATACAACAGCAGCAAATACACCGAAAGAGATCGTGGGCATACTCCCATTCATATCAGCCTCCAAGAAAATAAAATATCCAGGAACAAACCTAACTGAACAGGCAAAGGGCCTCTACAATAAAAATCTTCAAGCCTCTGAAGAAAGATTGAGAAAGACACTAGGAAAGTAACAAAGACCTCCCATGCTCTTGGATCACTAGAATTAACACCGAAAAGGACACTTCTCTGCAGAGCAATTTACAGACTCAGTGCAATCTCAATCAAAATCCCCACCTCACTCTTCACAAATTAGAAAGAAGCATTCTGAAATCTATAAGGAGCCACAAAGTCCTGGGATAACCAAAGCAACCCAGGATGGGGTTAGCATTCTAGGTTTAAGGATATATTACAGAGCCACAGTAACAAAAAAATCTTGCTCCTGGTTACAAAACCAGACATGAAACCAATGAGACAAAACAGAAGACACAAACATGACTGCAAATAACTAGAGCCATCTAATAATTAACAAAGAGTCAAAAGCATACATTGGAGAAAAGAATGTCTTCAGTACAAGTTCCTGGGAGAACTGGGTGTCCACATGCAGAAGAATGTAATTAGATCTGTGTCTATCACCCTGCATAAAACTAACTTCAAATGTATCAAAGACCCTGTGCTGGATATTTTTATGTGGACTTGACACAAGCTACAGTCATCCTCAGCTAAGACAATGTCTCCATATGATCAGGCTGTAGGCAAGCCTATGGGGGCATTTTCTTAATGATCAGTAGGTGTCTTAGGGTTCCTATTGCTGTGAAGAGACACCATGACCATGGTAACTCTGATAAGACATTTAATTGGGGTGGCGGCTTGTAGTTTAGAGGTTCAGTTTGTTATCATCATGGCGGTAGCATGACGGTGTGCAGGCAGACATCGTGCTGGCTACATCTTGATCAGAATGCTGTGACACTGGAAGTAACTTGAGCACAGGAAATCTTTTTTTCCCCAACAGGGTTTCTCTGTATATCTTTAGCTGTCCTGGAAATCACTCTGCAAAACAGGTTGGCCTCAAACTCACAGGAATCTGCCTGCCTCTGCCTCCAGAGTGCTAGGATTGATTAACTGTGTGCACTCTCACGAACAGCCTGAGTAAATGAGATCTTAAAGCCCAACCCCACACTTTCTCCAAAAAGACCATACCTACTCCAACAAAGCCATACCTCCTAATAATGCCACTCTCTTTGGAAGACACTTTATTTCAAACTACCACAATGGGAGAGAGTCCAGCTCATTGTGGGTGGGATCACCCCTGGACTGGTGTGGTAGTCCAGGGTTCTATAAGAAATCAGACTGAGCAAGCCATGAGGAGCATGTCAGTGAGCAGCTCTCCTCCATGGCCTCTGCATCAGCTCCTGCCTCTAGGTTCCTGCCCTGTTTGGGTTCCTGTCCTGACTTCCCCCAGTGATGAACAGTGGTGTGGAAGTTAAGCCAAATAAACCCTTCCCTCCCCAAGTTGCTTTGGTCATGCATGTTGTCATAGCAATAGACAGACCTCAGTGTGAACCCTGAAACAGTGAAACTGCTAGAAAACATAGGCAGCCCCCATGGGACACAGATGTAGGAAAGGACTTCCTGAATAGAGCTCCGTTTGCTCAAGAATTTAAGGCCAACAGCTGACAAGCAAGACTTCCTAAACCTGAGAAGCTCTTCATAGCCAAGAAAACAACCACCTGAAGCAGAAGTGCACTGAGTGGGAGGGAATCTTTGCCAGTAACCCATCTGTTGAATTAAAAAACGGACCTGAGACCCAAACAGAGAATTCACAAGAAGAGAAATAAAAATAGCTAATATCTAAGAAAAAGTTCGCTATCTCTAGCAGCTAGGAAAATGTAAATCAAAACAACTTAGATTTCATTTACCCCAGTCAGAATGGCACAGATCAATGGAACAACAGACAACAAATGCTGGATGGGATGGGAGGGGGGATGGGGCCCATTCACTGTTGGTGGGAATGCAAACTGGCCCAGCCACTCTGGGAACCGGTGTAGAGAATTCTCAAAGAACTGAAAATAAATCCACTCGATGACCCAGTTATAGAAGCCCTTGGCATATACCCAAAGGACTTGGCATCCTTGTTCACAGACACTTCCTCAGCCATGGCCATCACTGCTCGACTCACAATAGCCAGGAAATGCAAACAACAAAAGCCTTCCGCACCCAATGACAAATAGCAAGAATATGACACTTCTGATCTTCTTGCCTGTATTTCCATGGTGGGAACTGCAGGTTTGCACTGCCACACCCGGTCTGTATGGGTGTGGTGGTACGAGGCTTCATGCATGCTGTGCATGCTGTGCAAGCACTCAACTGAGCCATAGCTGCAGCCCGGAATGCATTTGCTTGTTTGTTTGTTTAACAACTGCACTGAATCCCTGTGGCTTCCTCACTGGTTTCTGGTGCAGGTGAAACTCACGAAGTCCAACAATGTTAATTTCTTAGTCTTAGTGATGAACATTCCAGAGACATGTAAAACAATGGAAATGAAGGAAGCTAGGAAATGACGCCTCTGCTTGGTACAGTCTTTGTAACTTTCCCAGTAAATAATTTTAAAAAAAGATTCTAAATATAAAATTTTAGTATGTGACTAAAATCCAAAATTATTCTAAAAGAAAAAGCTGACTTGAAAAAAACCTAGCCGTGTTTCCGAGGTGAGTTTCAGGTGGTTTTCTTCTTCTTCTAAAACCTTCTTTAGTCTTTAAGGTTTGGGTGAGATGCCAGGGATAGAGCTCAGGGCATAGTGTTTGCCTGTGTCTACGATGGAACTGCAAATCAGGCCTAGTTTTTAGCATTTAATTACTGTCTAAGTGGCAATAATAGCAGCAATTGCCTTGTTTATGGGCCCCTCATGGGGACAGGTACCCGTGAAGGACTTTTTCATATCTCATCATTAATTCTCTGGACTTCCCTTGAGGGAGGAGGAGTTTGCAGTATTATTTTCCCTGAAGTACTGAGGCCCAGACTATGATGTCATTTAGACAAGACCACACCCAGTGGCCCATTGGGACCTATTCCTTGCCACTCCAAGAGTATCCCTGTGCTTGCTTCCCCTGCCCACAAACTCCTGCGGGGCAGACCCCGATATTTCACAGATGAAGTATATGTTCAGAGGTAGGGCAGTACCTTGTCACTGAGCACAGCTGGCCAGTGGCAGAGCCAGGCACTGCCCCTGAGCCTCAGCATGGAGAAAACATCTGGAGTAGGTTGAGATCCCAACTATAGCACTAAGGGGCGACAGAGGACTGGGGAGATGCTCGGTGGGTAAGGGTACTTGCTGTGCAAGTACTGGGAGCAGGTCCCAGAACTCAAGTGTTACGTGCATTCTCACATGAGCTGTGGAGGCAGCAAGGTGTGGGCAGGGAAATGACTGGGACCTGGCAAGCTGCTGGTATCTGGAGGAGCCCTGCATATGGGCAGCCCCACCCCCCAGTTCTGCCCCTTGGTACCGTTGAAGAACTTGATGATGTCTGTGAAGTCCATGTTGTTCTCCAGGATGATGTCTCGGTAGACCTCCACCAGAGCCAGCGCGATGAACAGCACATAGTGGGCGGAGGACACGTGCTTAGCTGCCCAGATGGTCTCCCACACGGAGAAGACGTCATCATAGACCAGTTCTGAGGAAAACACGCATGTGCATAAGAGCTGGTCCAGAACAGAGTGCAAGGCCAGTCCTCCTTAGTCCTCCCTGCAAGCATTCCACTTCCCCAGGTGGACAGTTCCAGGCCAGTCCTGTGCTCATGCTCAGCTGCAGCAGGAAGAACTCAGGCTGGGAGGCAGGAGACCAAGTCCCTGCCATCTGATCCTCAAAGCCTGAGTTTCCCCATTTACGGACTCGGTCTAAGGTGCCTGTGTGAAGAATCTGAGCATGTGCAGGTTTGATTGGCATGAGCCTGTCCCTGCCGCCTACTACTGTCCTTCCTCTCTCTCCAGCAGCGTTCACCGGTGGCTCTCAGTGGCTGAGCACAAAGTGCTAGTTGGCTGCTGTCTCAGCTAAGCAAGATGGAAGAGCCCTGAAGACAGTGGTTCTCAACCTTGCAAATGCTGCGACCCTCTAATAGTTCCTCACGTTATGGTGACGCCCATCCATAAAATCACTTTTGTTGCTACTTCATAACTGTAGTTTTGCTACTGTTATGAATCGTAATGTAAATACGATCTACAGGATGTATTTTCATTGTTACAAACTGAATATAATGATTAATCACAAGAAACAATGTGTAATTATATATTGCAAAATATTTATTTCTAACAACAGTAAACTACATTTTGCATCCGTGTGTACAGAAAGCCAACATCAGTGCCAAGATTGATATTGCTTCCTCAGTTTCTAAGACCACTGGAAATATGTGTCTTCAGATGGTTTTAAGCTACCCCATGAAAATGTTCATTGACCCCAAAGGGGTCACGACTCTTGTGTTGAGAACCGTTGCCTTAAGAGCAAGGTTATCAAGTCTAATAAGTTGGCTTTGAGTTCCAACCCTTCACTAACCAGCCAGAGGCTGTGGGCTGGTGCTGTCCCCTTCCAGCCTCTCTGCACCTCAACTTTGCATGGGGCCTACTGGTCACAGTAAAGGACCAGGGATGAGACACAGCATGGGGCAGGTAGTTAGCACCACCACACGGATCAAGTGTTCCTCACCTCACCCCCGGCTTTGCACAATGGCACACATTCAGAGGTGACATCCTTTCTATGCCCACAGAGAAATACACTTGAAGTCCCCTCAGCTGAAGAGTTCTTGGTCTCTGCTAAGCAGAAAGGCAGGTAGGAGGGACTCATCCCAGAGATGGGCAGAACCAAGCTTGGGCCCTGACTTCCCTATTCCTAGCTCTGTATTTGACATTTTTGTTTTCTCATCTGTGAAACAGAAACCGCGTGCACGTGCACGCGCGTGTGTGTCTTCATGTGCAAATGTGTGTACATGTCTGTGGAGGCCCAATGTTGATGTCATTATCTTCCTATATTGGCCTTCACCTCATGGAGACCAGCGTTCACCAATCTGACTGGGCTGGCTGGCCAGTGAGCTCTTGTGGCCAACTTGTATCTTTTTCCCCAACACTGAACCACATGCAACGTGCATGGCTACACTTAGCTTTTCAATTTTTTTTAATTATTAAGTTCGGGGGACACATGGCCCAGCACATGTGTGAAGGTCAGAGGACAACTTGTGGGAATAGGTTATTTCTTTTAACCAACTGGATTCCAAAGATCAAACTCATGTCAACCATCTTGGTGGCCAGCCCCCATAACTAGGTTGTTATGTGGGTGCCAGGATGTGAACTCAGGTCCTCATGCTTGTACAGGCACTTTATAACTGTGCTGTCTCCTAAGCCCTAGAAACAGCAACTTTATGGCTCCTGCTGCATAATCATTTTGTGATAAGGCATGTTCCATGATGGATAGATTTAAGTAAATGCTCTCTCTTCAGCCGCCTTTGCCCCAATGATCTTCATGTCCTCTTCAGCCTCCACTTCCCCATCATAACCACCCCAGAAATTCTACTGTAAAGACTTTGCACAAGTCCCCAAGAGGCAGTCTGTACCTCGTTTGAAATCCAGCAGGAACCAGCGGTAGCAGAAGTAGAAGTGGGTGTAGTCCCCATTCTGATGCATCAACTCGAAGAGCTCCGAGTCCAGGATCTAATGGAGGGAGGGCAGGCTGTCAGCCCCCTACCCTGAGAAAGGGCAGCCAGAGGGTACAGTGGAATCCACTGTGCTGTATGCTCACCCTGCACACCAGTCAACCCTCGGTGAGCAAAAGGGTGCACACAGCCTTCTCTCCAAAGAGGATTTGCAATGACCAGTATGGAACTGGCTCAATATCAGGGAAAGAAGGTTAGAACAACAAGGCAGGCTCATTCCCACCAGGATGACTGAAATCAAACTGACAGACAGTATCAAGTGTTGGCAAGAATTCAGAGTAAACATTCTCCCTCCCTCCCCTAGGGTCCCCATTGACTGACCCCATGGGCCGGGGCAAGTGGCGCCCAATGTGGAGACCCAGGTACGAGGGCTTCAGTGAAGAACATCACTAAGGAGAGCCGGACATATCAAAAAGAAAAGAAATAGAGATAGTTGCAAGACGGGGGCCTGCTGAAGCAACAAAGACCTCAGTAAGTGAGCTATGATATGGGACAAGAAATGAGTCAACATGAATTGTTTGTTGAAGACCTCAAGAAGACACTTAAGGCATGAGAGATTAGGCTTAAAACACAGGATTTGTTAAAGTTTTCTGTATTTATTAAGGAAGTTTGTCCCTGGTTCCCCACTGAAGGGACCATAGATGATAAAAGGTGGAAGAGAGTAGGAGATGCTTTAAAGGATTACTATAAAACTTTTGATCCTGAAAAGATTCCTATTACAGCATTTTCATTTTGGAATCTAATTAATGAAATTATTTCCCAGAAACAGCATGACCCTTTTATAGCAAATATAATAAAAGAAGGAGAGAAATGCTTAAAACCTACTGAAATAGAAAAAGTAGAAGAGCCTAGTAAGAAGCAGAACCTTATGTCATTTGATAGTGACTCAGAAGAAATTCAAAAGACTAGCCCACAAACCCAGGATAAGATTGTAAAATAGATAACCACAATGTAAACCACGACCGAAAAAGGATGAGGGAGCCAGACCCGAAGTTAAAAAGATATATCCCTCACTTAAAAAAATTATCCAAAAATCAACAGCCTATGGAAGATAGTCTTAGTGACTCAGAGTGGGAGGATTTGGAGGAAGAGGCGACTAAATATCATGGTCCAGACTACCCTCCATTAGCAGAACATTGACCTCCACCTTATATGCCTCCTCCAGTAGCCCCCTCTCTGACTTGCCCAGTTTTAATCCCTCAAAAAAAGATGCAGGACAAATTCAATATCTTAAAGAGCAGATTCGATTAGAAACAGAACATCAAGACCGGAACACCCAGCTAGAGAGTTTGAAAACAGGCAAGTCTACCAACACCTCTCAGAAAGGTGTTTCCAAGTCACCTCTCAGAGGGGGCTGCCCTTAAGATACCTCTTACCCACCAACATCAGACAGAGACAGAGAATATTACTGCTTTTCCAGTAACCAGGACAACAGATGCACAAGGCATTGCCTGGCAACATCACACAGGTTTGGATTTCAATGTAATCAAAGAAGTCAAAATCGCAGTCTCTCAATATGGGGCTACAGCGCCTTATACCACTGCCATCATAGAATCTGTGGCAAACAATTGGCTTACTCCTTCCGACTGGTACACTTTAACTAGAACAACCTTGGTAGGGGGAGATGGAGATTATCTTTTATGGAAGGTAGAATCTGCAGAAGCTTGTAAGGAAACTGCAAAAAGTTATTGCCCAAGCAGGCAATAACTGGAATGCAGATATGTTATTGGGGGAAGGAAATTATGAGGCAGAGGATGTTCAAATGCGATATGAACCTGGACTATTTGCCCAAATTCAAACAGCTACCACCAGAGCCTGGAAGAGACTATCTGCTAAAGGGGACACGAGCTCTTCCCTTACTAAAATCAAACAAGGGCCTGACAAGCCCTTTTCAGACTTTATCCATCGCTTTCTAACAACAGCAAGTAGGATTTTTGGAAATGCTGATTCAGGCACAGACTTTGTTAAACAATTGGCTTTTGAAAATGATAATTCTGCGTGCCAAGCAGCTATTCAACCATATCATACAAAACAGACCTTTCTGGCTACATTCGCCTCTGTGCTGAGATAGGCACAGCTTATCTGCAAGGACTCGCCATGGCAGCTTATGCAAGGCACTACTGTTAGACAGTTCTTGTCTAATTAAGGTAGAAATAAATGTTTTAACTGCGGCGAGTCAGGCCATTTTTCAAAAAACTGTCCACAAAACTCAAAGATTGCTTTTTTACTGTACCCTTACATCCAGATGATCAGAAACGCTTTGCCTTTAGTCTTCCTTCTACAAATTTTCAAGCACCTATGCACCGGTATCAATGGTATCAATGGCGTGTTCTCCCCCAAGGCATGGCTAATAGTCCCACACTTTGCCAATCTTTTGTAGCATCTGCTATCCAAGCAGTTAGGGACTCATGGCCACAGATGTATATAATACACTATATGGACGATATTCTTTCAGCAGGACAAAAAGGGGAAGAAGTATTATTTTGTTATAAAGAGTTATGTGATGCTCTAACAAAAAGGGGATTACAGATTGCACCAGAAAAATACAACTCAAAGATTCCTGTACTTATTTAGAATTTCAAATGTTTGAAGATAAAATTTTATCTCAAAAATTACTTTGAGATTAGATAGGTTTCATACCCTTATGATTTTCAAAAATTACTGGGAGATATTAATTGGCTACTACCTTACTTAAAAATTAGCAAAGATGAATTAAAAGCCCTTTATGACATTCTCCCTGGTAATTCAGATCACACCTCACCTCATCAACTTTCACCTGAAGGCCACAAAACAATAACTTTGGTAGAACAAGCCATACAATCTCAAACAGTTAACTTTTCTTGGTTACAATCATCCCTTGTGGTTCATTATTTGCAAAACAGCTCAGTCTCCAATTGCAGTTTTTTTTTGCAAACTGCTTCCATATTATGGGTCCATTTACCAGTCAGTCCAAAAAGGGAGCTAAATCCCTATTTTCAATTGGTCTCAGATATTATTCTTATAGGTAGAAGAAGGCCGTCTTATTTTTGGCTATGAGCCAAACCTTATTATTCAACCTTATACCAAGGAACAGGTTGATTGGCTTATGCAAACAACAGAATGCTGGCCCATAGCCTTGGCCAATTATATAGAAGAAATAGATAACCATTATCCCCCTAATAAGCTAATTGATTTTACCAATCATCAAGAATTTATTTTTCCAAAAAAATACTCTCCTAGATCTATACCAGGTGCATTAACTGTGTTTACTGATGGCTCCTCCACAGGGATAGCCGCTTATGCTTGGAATGATGAGGTTACTAGTTTTCAAGCTGGGGCCTCATCTGCCCAACTAACAGAATTATATGCTGTTATAGCTGCCTTTACTGCCTTTCCAAATCAATCACTTATACTGATAGCGCCTATGTTGCTCATTCAGTACCACTTTTAGAGACTATAGGTCAAATTAAGAATATCTCTGAGACTTGTAATTTATTTAGACAACTAACTTCTCTCATAAGAGTCAGAAAGTTTCCTCTCTTTATGGGGAACCTTCGTGCTCATTCGGGTCTCCCCGGGGGCAATCATTTGGCAGACTAAACAACCCATTGTCTTCTGGCACTGCCTGTTGATTCCGTCTAGGACACAGGCATTGAAGCAGCACGTAAAGGACATTCATTACATCACCTTAATGCCCATACTTTATGCCTCATGTATCATATTACCAGAGAACAAGCTAGACATACAGTAAAAAACTGTTCAGAATGCATCCAATATTTACCTGTACCTCATTTGGGAGTTAATCCTCAGGGACTTGTGCCCAATGCTCTCTGGCAAATGGATGTTACCCATCTTACAGAATTTGGACATCTTAAATATATTCATATTAATATAGATGCATATAGTGGTTTTATCTGTGCCTCTCTTCAAACCGGAGAAAGCACTAAACATGTAATTAGCCATTGGCTAGCTGCATTTTCTGTCGTGAGCACTCCTCAACAAATCAAGACTGATAATGGACTTCGATATACCAGTGCCAATTTTAAGACCTTCTGCAAACAATTAGCTATTAACCATGTCACTGGAATTCCATATAATCCTCGAGGACAAGGTATGGTAGACAGAGCTAGCCTTACACTCAAGCTATTAATAAATCAAAAGGTATCCCACCAAAGGCATGACAAGGAATATTCTGACACATGCTCTTTTCATTGCTAATTTTAAAAATTTGGATAATGAAGGAAAATCTGCTGCCACACGATTTTGGCACTCTGATATACAAAAATCCTTTGCCACAGTCATGTGGAAAGGCCCCTCCTAGATAACACCTGACATGGACTTGATCCAGCCCTAATATGGGGATGAGGATCAGTATGCATATACTACAAAGAAATGAAATCCACCTGATGGCTTCCAGAAAGATTAGTTAAACAAATAGATGATAGCATAACTTATTCCAGGAGGAATTGCCTCTCCTGAGAATTTTATTCCTTTCTGTTTTCCAGAAATAAAGATCCATGTCATACTCGGGGTCTTCCTATTGAACCCCTTTCAGAAGAAGGATTCAGGGCGCCCCCCAACCCAAAGGAGTTGATGAAAGCATTATTTGGAGCCCCATGCAAATGCAGAGGAGGAACTGCTCTTACACTACACACACTGACTGCAGAAATAACTATCTAATTATAGTACCTGCTAATAATGGAGGCTTTGATCAAAACTAGGTATGTGTTAATAAACCTAGAAGCATTCCTAAGGTCAATGGACAACCAGAACCATGTCCAGTAGGATGCAATTCTGTGGACCAAATGAATGCCATGTGCTACAGCACATTCCAAGAATGCACACATAATGGCCTTACTTATTTTACTGCCACACCCTTAAGAACTTATTCTGGCAGTGTTGAGGAGATTGGTCTATTAACCCCCAGGTGCTTGGCAATTATAAATACGCTGCAGCCTCCTGCCGTGCTGCTCCAGGAAAGCCAGCATGCTGGAACAAGGTAGCTCCCATTCATGTTTCTGATGGAGGCCCCACAGATATGGTTAGAGAAGCCAAGGTCCAAGAAAAGAGTCAACATATAATTGACTCCATGATTCCTCATATAGATTATCACCCATTATTACTTCCCAAATCTAAAGGCATGGATATTGATCCTCAGACCTCGGAAATATTGTCGGCTACCCATTATGCTTTAAATATCACTAATCCCCATCTGGTTATGTTTGACCTTGGAAACCTCATGGCCTCTGGCAATTCCGGTGTTATGAAATTTCTCAGTACCTATTGATGGTTCCCTGCTAGGTAATAATTGTTTGCTTAGCATTCCTTTTAAGATACAACCCACAGGATTTAATCATTCCTTATGCTTTTATAAACATTTTAAAAATAACAGTTTTGATATAGATGTAGGATGAGCATCATTTACTTCCTGCTCTTCAGTAATTAATGTATCCACAGCTCTTTGTCCTGAGCCTGGACAAGTTTTGGCGTGTGGAAATGGGATAACTTACTTACTCCATGCTGCCTTCCAATTGGACAGGGTTATGTGTATTAGCCACCCTTCTTCTCCAGATACAGAATTTATACCAGGGAGTGAACCCATTCCAATACCTAGCATAGATTATCTTATTCCCAGGCATAAGAGGGCCATCCAATTCATTCCCCTGTTAGTTGGACTTGGAGTACCGAGAGCCTTAACTACAAGCTCCACAAGCATGGGAGTAACTGTACAAACATATTCCAAGCTGTCTCAGCAGCTTGCTGATGATGTACAGACTATTTACAGGTCAGTTCAGGACCTTCAAGACCAAGTTGACTCCCTAGCAGAGGTAGTTCTGCAGAATAGGAGAGGCCTGGATTTGCTTACAGCAGACAAGAGAGGCATTTGTTTGACTTTGCAGGAAAAATGCTGATTTTATGCCAATAAATCAGGCATTGTTAGAGACCGAATCAAAAAACACCAAGAGGAGCTTGAGAAACGCCGCAGAGAACTGTTTGACCATTTGGAGTGCTTGGAATGGACTTCTGCCCTATCTTCTTCCTGTGTTAGGCCCCCTGCTTGGCTTATTAATTATCCTATCACTAGTACCTTTTCTCTTTAATAAACTGATGGCTTTCATTAAGAGTCAAATGGATGCTATCAAGATGCAGCCTATACAAGTGCACTATCACCGTCTTGACATGGCCGATATGGGAGACAGCTGTGATGAACCTTAATCACATACTACTTAAATTATGTAGCTATGAGATCACTTCTGATTCATCTCCTCCTTGGTGAGCTGGGCTGGTTAGTCAATGATGGGCAACAGAGGAAGGACAGAGGGTGTCCCATCCCGATAGCCCCCTAAGACAGGAATGCTCATCATGAGATGTCATCTCCAATGACTGGTAGGGCTATTGCACACTCCTGATCCACAAGATCCTCTGACCTAAGACATGCACGGCCCCCTCAAGGATATCCCAGTTTATGGCCTTTTTACTTTATACAAAGAAGGGGGACCTGTGGAGGGCCCTAAATAAGGATAGCATAATAGAAAACATCTTAATATTCATACTGTATTCTTAGAGACTAACACTTAGTTAAGTTTCTATTCTCTGTGTCTGCTTATCTTCCTGTACAGCATATTTACAAGGCCTGCAGTCCAGACTCCCCCAGCTGCAGACTTGTGTCCTTGGAACACACCCTGCCAAGGACAACTTCTGCTCCCCCGCACTTCTGCTACCTGCCTTACTTAAGCCCTGTTGGTACTTTCAATAAACAAGACTTGATCAGAATCCTGTCTTGTCTCCGTCTCTCGCGTCTCTTGTCCCCCCATTCTCACCCCCTCCCCTCGGGTCCCTGTTGACTGACCCTGAGGGGCAGGGCACTTTCGTATCCAAAATATTTGGTGACTTTTTTAGAATCCCACCAAAGCAGAGCAAGAGCCACCTCCCTACAGCATTTAGAATCCCCTGCAGAACTCGGCCTGAAGCTGGCTGCCAGGCCTGCCTCTTGCAGATTCTGATTGGTAGCTAGGGAAATGCATGTTAAACCAACTTTGAGATTTCACCTTGCCCCCGTCAGAATGGCCAAGACTGACAGAGCAACCAACAACAAGTGCTGACCAGGGTGGAGGGGGGGCACACTCACTGTTGGTGGGTTTGGGATGCAAACTGGTACAGCCACTGTGGAAATCAGTGTGGAGAACTCTCAGAAAGCTAAAAGTAAATCTAACTTATGACCCAGCTGTAGCACTCCTTGGCATGTGCTTACTCAATGTCCTACTCCATAGTTCATTGCTGTTCTATTCACAATAGCTTGGAAATGGAGGCAACCTAACATCCTTCCTTCCATTGACAAACGGATAATGAAAATGTGGTACGTGTGCACAGTGGAATAGTATTCAGCTCTAAAGAGAAAACCCTGACGTTTGAAAGTAGACAAATAGAACGAGGAAAGACTGTATTGAGCGAGATAACCCAGACTCAGACAGACAAACATGGTGTGTTCTCTCTCATCTGACTCTCTCAGCTCCAAATCTTCAGATGCAAATCCACAGGCTGGAGTAACTGCAGAACAGGAAAGTTAAGAAGGGGACCATTGCCAAAGTAGGGAGGTCAGGGAGCAACAGAGAAGTGGAATAGTGGGGCACAAGTGATCTGAAGGAGGATGGGGAAGATGGAGGCCTCCAACTGGGGAAGGGGAGAGAGATAAACACAGAAGAAGGAGGTAAGATCGATGTGAGGTTGCCTGGAAAAGCCGTAAGGAGTCACACCATCAACTGGGCACTTATGCACCCGAGTGCTCTACCAGCTGGACCACACCCGCCTGCAAACCGCTCAATCTGAAGCCATTTGGCTGCACTCCCTGTCTTCCCTAAAGTCAAAGCAGGAAGCCTCTGGCCCTACCTGGATTAGGGACCTCATGTTGGCAAAGTGGGTGTCCATGGCACCTCCGTGGGGGAAGTTCTGGTTCATCCTCTTCATGAGTTCCGTGAAGCAGCTGAAGGCTAGGGCCTCTGGGGACAATGCAAGACAAAGGGTTAAAGGGTTAGCAGGGCCACCGCCTCAGGCACAGAGTGAGGTCCAGAGCAGAGTCCACGGCCACGGCCACAGCCACGGCCACGTGAGAAATAGGTAGGCAGGGAGGACTCAGTGGAGTCCACTCCCTCCGATGCTCAACAAACTTTAGTGTGTCATGGATCTCACCACAGAGGTACTGGGAGGAACAGCATCTATCAGACAAAGACACTCCTTTGATTGGTCCACACTGGTTGTGACACAAGGCCCACACACACTCCTTTGTTGGTCTCCATATTTCTTACTTTCAGAAATTCTGCCAATTCATGGGATTCTCAAGTCTGGAAGCCACTTTGCTCAAAAGCAACTGTTGTGGAGCTGGAGAGATGTTTCTGTGGTTAAGAGCACAGACTGCTCTTCCAGAGGACCCAGGTTCAGTTCCCAGCACCCACATGGTGGCTTACAACTCTCTGTAACTCCAGTTCCAGGGGACCCAACACCCTCACACAGACACACATGCAGGCAAAACACCAATGCACATAAACTAAAAGTAAATTATTAAAAAAAACGGTTGACATAGTAAGGGCTTTGAATGTAAAGAAAGGACAAACTCCTTTGGCAAATGCTGGCAAGAATATCTATTTACATAGTTTAAGAAAGTAGGGACCAAAAAGAGGACTCAGTGGTTAAGAGAACTGGCTGCTCTTCCAGAGGACCAGAGTTTGATTCCTAGCACCCACATGGCGGCTCACAGCCATCTGTAACTCCAGTTCCTAGGAATCAGTCACTTTCTTCCTGCCTCCACTGTAGGCATGTGGTACACACATACACAGGCAAAACATTCATACAGCAAAATAAAAATAAACCAAACCTCCAACACTAAAAAAAAGAAAGTAAAGGTTCTGAGAACCCCCGAAGTATAGAAACCTGACATACTAGACTGCATTTGAAAAACTTATTGGAAATGGTAGTTTTTCTGGTTTCTCTTAGTAGCGATGGGAGAGTGATGCTATTGGGAAAGCTCCTCAAGGACAATGGGTTCCACTCAGGTTTAAAGGGGTCAGGACAGATTACAGAAATTTGATCAGTCTTCATAGTCTGGCAGCCCCTGGCACAACCACATCACCTGACCTGCTTGTCACAATTACAGTCACCCTGACATGCTGCTGACTACGGTCTCTCACAGCACCAAGCCTCCATTGCTCTCAACTCCTTAATGCCTTCAAAACCAGGACCACCTGGGCGAGTCTTAGGCTTTACTAAGTTTGGTTGCCAGTCTTGGCCCCCTGTGGACCAGTTTTTGCTTGCGGACCACCAGTAAACAGTTTCCAGGGGTTTCACATCAATGACGCTGGTCTCATCTTCCCAGCTGACCGGCAATGACCAGCAAAGTCACAAGTATTTGCCCGAAAGTTTTCTTCTAAGAGTTCTACCATTTTGGTTCTTTCTGAGATCAAGTGAGTTTCTTGTGCGTTTCAAGTCAGGCAGGGGGTTTTCCATCTTTTGCACGTGTGTTTCCTGTCGCCGCAGCAGCTGATACCTTGAAATGACTGAGCTTGTGGAGTTGAGCTGACTCTGAACTCTGATCAGTCAGCTGAGTGTCAACTGCAAACCCTTCTTTCTGGATTCTCAGCTGCAGCCTAGAACCTGTGTGCAGGCCTTGGTGGAGGCACCAAAGTTCTGTGTCTCTATCTGTCTCTGTCTCTGTCTGTCTGTCTGTCTTGCTCTGTCTGTCTCTGTTTCTGTCTGTCTCTGTTTCTGTCTGTCTCTGTCTCTGTTTCTGTCTGTCTCTGTCTGTCTCTGACTGTCTCTGACTGTCTCTGTCTGTCTCTGTCTCTGTCTGTCTCTGTCTCTGTCTGTCTCTGACTGTCTCTGTCTGTCTCTGTCTCTGTCTTTGTGTGTGTGTGTACAACTTGTGGCAGTCGATTATCCCCTTTCACCACACGAGTCTCAGGGATCAAACTCAGGTCCTCAGACTTGGTGGCTATGCCTTTACCCACCGAGCCAACCTGCCACTGCAGCTGGGCATTTTGATAGGGCTTTTCCATACACGTTACAGAGGAGACTGCTCTCTGGCAACACCAAATCTTTCAGCTGTGGTGGGAGATGCCCTGCCCCCCCCCTTTATGGTTCTTCTCCTCTGACCAACAACGTTTTGCGGTCTTAGATCTATAAGCCACGCCCTTTAGAGGTATTGAAAACACTTCTTTCTTCAGGAGACATGACACATGGACTTGTCATCTTAATTTCAGGTTGGGGTTGTTTAGCTCAGCTGTGTAGAAATACAAGATTTCTGCTTATCGATCTTATGAGCTACAGTCCTGATGGATTCACTTGTTCTGTTTTCTTATTCTTTAGATTTTCATCCTAAAGGCAAACCATCTGGGACCAGGACACCACAGATAGTTTTAATTCCTTTCCAGTTCTTCTTCCCCATTTCCCTGCTCCTTTTAATATTTTGAGACAGGGCTTCATGTAGCCTGTGCTTTCTTTCAATTCACTCTGGTCAAGGGTGAGTTTGAACCTCTGATCTCTGATCCTCTTTCTTCTACCTCCCAAGTGCTGGGACCACAGGCTACCACACCCTGTCTTTTATATTCAGGTACTGGCTTATATTGGTGTTGCTTAGATACTGAACTGTCCTTGCAGTTCTGGGATAAACCCCAATTGGCCGTGTTGTGTAACTCTCTATATCTTGTTGGATTGAATTGTGTTTAGAAGAGCTTGTGAAGAATCACTCTTCAATTGTGTACTTTGGTAAAGTTCATACCAGGGATGCCATCTGGACCAGGCTTTACTTTGTTCTTATTCATGGTCAATCAATGGCTCACCACAGTCAGGAGGGCCTCAGTGCCGTGCACTATGGGGCACGAGGATGTCTCATGCTACTGAGTTTGGGATGCATTCACCAGACTGTGCACCTGTCCTGACCCAGTCCACAGAGAAACAAGTGAGACTGACCCTTCCTCTCCCATAGGACAGAGGGGACACACTCACCATCATCCAGGATGACCAACAGCGGGGCCAGAAGGTCACACATGCCCTGGACGTAGCCAATCTCAATGTGCTGCCAGATGTAGCTACAGGAGAAACGGCACAATGAGGGGACCACAGCCTGCATCCCCACGCAGCCTGCATCCCCACACAGCCTGCATCCCCACGCAGCCTGCATCCCCACACAGCCTGCATCCCCACACAGCCTGCATCCCTCCTAGCCTGCATCCCCACACAGCCTGCATCCCTCCTAGCCTGCATCCCCACGCAGCCTGCATCCCCACACAGCCTGCATCCCCACGCAGCCTGCATCCCCACGCAGCCTGCATCCCCACACAGCCTGCATCCCCACACAGCCTGCATCCCTCCTAGCCTGCCTGTCCCCTTCTCCCATCTGGTCCTCCACCCCTCAGCCTGATGTCCACCCTCAGTGTCACCTCACATCCTAGGTGCAGCCATCAGGGCAACCCTGCCCAAGAGAACAATCACAGAGCACAGTACACTGCAAGTGCCCCACCGCTCTAGGAGAGCTGTCATAGGTTCATGAGGAAGGAGTATCTTCAACTCCTCCAAGCCCCACAAACAGCTTTCAAGCGCCTGTTTTCTGGTTACGTGGAGATGTTCACTTTACACAAATTAGTGACTCATTAAAGCCTCTAGAGATTTGCCAACCCAGTCCCTCTGTCTGTCTGCCAGGAACTTGGATCAGTCTCTATGAATAAGAGCTTTGACCTATAGGTCCAGGAAAATATCCTCACCTATGCATGCAACCTGAATCTTTGAATCTTTAAATGATGGTGTGAAAGTGAGTGAGTGAGTGAGTGAGTGAGTGAGTGGGTGGGTGGGTGAGTGAGTGGGTGAGTGGGTGGGTGAGTGAGTGGGTGAGTGGGTGGGTGAGTGGGTGGGTGAGTGGGTGGGTGAATGGGTGAGTGAGTGGGTGAGTGAGTGAGTGGGTGAGTGGGTGGGTGGGGTGAGTGAGTGAATGGGTGAGTGGGTGGGTGAGTGAGTGAGTGAGTGGGTGGGTGGGTGGGTGAGTGAGTGGGTGAGTGGGTGGGTGAGTGAGTGAGTGAGTGGGTGGGTGGGTGGGGTGAGTGAGTGAGTGGGTGAGTGGGTGGGTGGGTGGGTGAGTGGGTGGGTGGGTGTGTGAGTGAGTGGGTGAGTGAGTGAGTGGGTGAGTGAGTGAGTGAGTGAGTGGGTGGGTGGGTGGGTGGGTGAGTGGGTGAGTGGGTGGGTGGGTGAGTGGGTGGGTGGGTGGGTGGGTGAGTGGGTGGGTGGGTGAGTGAGTGGGTGAGTGGGTGGGTGGGTGGGTGGGTGGGTGAGTGAGGTGAGTGAGTGGGTGGGTGGGTGAGTGAGTGAGTGAGTGGGTGGGTGGGGTGAGTGAGTGAGTGGGTGAGTGGGTGGGTGAGTGAGTGAGTGAATGGGTGAGTGGGTGGGTGGGTGAGTGAGTGGGTGGGTGGGTGGGTGAGTGAGTGGGTGAGTGGGTGGGTGGGTGAGTGAGTGAGTGAGTGGGTGGGTGAGTGAGTGAGTGAGTGGGTGGGTGGGTGAGTGAGTGGGTGAGTGGGTGAGTGAGTGAGTGAGTGAGTGGGTGGGTGGGTGGGTGAGTGAGTGAATGGGTGAGTGGGTGGGTGAGTGAGTGAGTGAGTGGGTGGGTGGGTGGGTGAGTGAGTGAGTGAATGGGTGAGTGGGTGGGTGGGTGAGTGAGTGGGTGGGTGGGTGAGTGAGTGAGTGGGTGAGTGGGTGGGTGAGTGAGTGAGTGAGTGAGTGAGTGAGTGGGTGGGTGGGTGAGTGAGTGAGTGAGTGAATGGGTGAGTGGGTGGGTGAGTGAGTGAGTGGGTGGGTGGGTGGGGTGAGTGAGTGAATGGGTGAGTGGGTGGGTAGGTGGGGTGAGTGAGTGAGTGGGTGAGTGGGTGAGTGAGTGAGTGAGTGAGTGGGTGGGTGGGTGAGTGGGTGGGTGGGTGTGTGAGTGAGTGGGTGAGTGAGTGAGTGGGTGGGTGGGTGGGTGAGTGAGTGAGTGGGTGGGTGGGTGAGTGAGTGAGTGGGTGAGTGAGTGGGTGGGTGGGTGGGTGGGTGGGTGAGTGAGTGAGTGAGTGAGTGGGTGGGTGGGGTGAGTGAGTGAGTGGGTGAGTGGGTGGGTGAGTGAGTGAGTGAATGGGTGAGTGGGTGGGTGGGTGAGTGAGTGGGTGGGTGGGTGGGTGAGTGAGTGGGTGAGTGGGTGGGTGAGTGGGTGGGTGGGTGAGTGGGTGGGTGGGTGGGTGAGTGAGTGAGTGAGTGGGTGGGTGGGGTGAGTGAGTGGGTGGGTGAGTGGGTGGGTGGGTGGGTGAGTGAGTGAGTGAGTGAGTGGGTGGGTGGGTGGGTGAGTGAGTGAGTGGGTGGGTGGGTGGGTGGGTGGGTGAGTGAGTGAGTGGTTGGGTGGGTGGGTGGGTGGGTGGGTGTGTGAGTGAGTGGGTGAGTGAGTGAGTGGGTGGGTGGGTGGGTGAGTGAGTGGGTGAGTGAGTGAGTGGGTGGGTGGGTGAGTGAGTGAGTGAGTGGGTGGGTGAGTGGGTGGGTGGGTGAGTGAGTGAGTGAGTGGGTGGGTGGGTGGGGTGAGTGAGTGAGTGAGTGGGTGGGTGGGTGGGTGAGTGAGTGGGTGGGTGAGTGGGTGAGTGAGTGAGTGGGTGGGTGGGTGGGTGAGTGAGTGGGTGAGTGGGTGGGTGAGTGGGTGGGTGGGTGAGTGGGTGGGTGGGTGGGTGTGTGAGTGAGTGAGTGGGTGGGTGGGGTGAGTGAGTGGGTGGGTGAGTGGGTGGGTGGGTGGGTGGGTGAGTGAGTGAGTGAGTGAGTGGGTGGGTGGGTGGGTGAGTGAGTGAGTGGGTGGGTGGGTGGGTGGGTGGGTGAGTGAGTGAGTGGTTGGGTGGGTGGGTGAGTGAGTGAGTGGGTGGGTGGGTGAGTGAGTGAGTGAGTGGGTGGGTGAGTGGGTGGGTGGGTGAGTGAGTGAGTGAGTGGGTGGGTGGGTGGGGTGAGTGAGTGAGTGAGTGGGTGGGTGGGTGGGTGAGTGAGTGGGTGGGTGAGTGGGTGAGTGAGTGAGTGAGTGGGTGGGTGAGTGGGTGAGTGAGTGAGTGGGTGGGTGGGTGGGTGAGTGAGTGAGTGGGTGGGTGGGTGAGTGAGTGAGTGAGTGAGTGAGTGGGTGGGTGGGTGGGTGGGGTGAGTGAGTGGTTGGGTGAGTGGGTGGGTGGGTGGGTGAGTGAGTGAGTGGTTGGGTGGGTGGGTGAGTGAGTGAGTGGGTGGGTGGGTGAGTGAGTGAGTGAGTGGGTGGGTGAGTGGGTGGGTGGGTGAGTGAGTGAGTGAGTGGGTGGGTGGGTGGGGTGAGTGAGTGAGTGAGTGGGTGGGTGGGTGGGTGGGGTGAGTGAGTGAATGGGTGAGTGGGTGGGTAGGTGGGGTGAGTGAGTGAGTGGGTGAGTGGGTGGGTGGGTGGGTGAGTGAGTGGGTGGGTGAGTGAGTGGGGAGATCGAGGCACAGAGAAGCAAAGGACACATCCAAAGTCAGTGTGATGTTAGCTCTATCATGTTGGGAAGGGACATGTGTGTGTGTGTGTGTGTGTATGTGTCTACATCACATTGGCGGGCGAACCTGTCCAGTGGAGGGCGGGGGAAGTGTCTTAGTTACATGTTAATCAATATAAGAAGACCCAGCCCACTGTGGGTGGCACCATTCCTTAGACAGGGGCTCCTGGGCCCCTTAAGTGTGAAGGAGCTGAGCACAAGGCAGACTACATGCCTCTGTGTTCTCTCTGCTCCCAACTTTGAATTTGTCCTATATTATTACTATAAATAAAATAAAACTCCGGATCAGTGTGGTATCAATAATAGGAACCAAAGCTTCAGCTAGACTGCCTACAGCCCCCATTTCCCCCACATTATCCCATCTTTATGCCCCTCCCTTCCATCCTCCCATCCCCCATTCCCATCCTCCATCACTTCCATCACTCCATCTCTCACCCATCCTTCCATTATCCCACCTCTCCTTCCTCTCATTCTCCCACCCCTTCATCAGCACACATTCCCTTTCCCTGCATCCTGTCTGCTTTACACCCCCTCCCTTGTCCACCCACCAGTCTCCTCATGCCCACTCCGTGCACCCTCCTCCCCCATCCTCCTCCCTTCCTCCCCCAGCTGCGGCCACCTGCACATGATGTTTCTCAGCTTCTCCAGGTTGGCAGCCGTGAAGTACCAGTAGCTGCGGTCACACCTCTGCACGTCTTTCTCGATGCGGTGGAGGTTCACTGTGTACAGATCCAGTAGCTCCGGCTGTGGGAGGCAGAGGGAACAAGGGGGACACTGATCCCAAGAACTGCTCTCAGCCCTCACCGCCCAACGGCTCACTCCAGAGCTTGGTTTTCTTTCTTTGTTTCCTGGGAAAGCTATTTTCAACTTTGCATAATGAAAAGGTTTTCTTCTGAGACCTGGGCTTCGTGACGTAGCCCAGGCTGGCCTGCAACTCATCATCCTCCTGCCTCAAAGCCTAGAGTGCTGGGGTTGCCGGCAGACGTGTGCTTCTGTGCACACTCACACACGTGTTCCCACACACACAGCTGCACCAGAGACAGAATGTCAAACAAATATTGTTAGCACATTTAAAAGTGATGCAAAGCTGGCACCCCAGTGCCCAGAGGCAGGAGGATTGCTGTAAATTAGAAGCTGGGTTACAGAATGAACTCAAGGCCAGCCTTAGCTGGGTCATGAGCACTGGCCCAGGTTGGCCCAGGTTAGCCCAGGTTAACCTACCAGAGGATGCAATACAAACCAGGCCCTGACAGCTGACATTCGAATGAATCACGCCCTGCCCAGCTTGGGGGCAGAGCTTCAGATTGATCCACAGACTCGGAGGCAAATCTATGGCATGGTGCAGGTTGGCAAACGCTGCTGGCCTTGGGTAACAGTGGCCACACAGTGTGGATGTGGAAGCTAATGACTGACACATCATGGTGAAAGCAGGTTTGCTTCTGAGCTCTGCTTTAAGATGTTCCACTAAAGTCTGTGAGGGCAGAGGTTGGCCTTAGCTGCCAGAGGCCAACGTCATCTCTGAGGAGGCCCGAGGGAACAGCCAGGGATCTGGGGCTCTGGGAGGGCACTTGTCCCACAGCCCGACTTACAGAGTAGGTAACACCGCTGGAAGACACAGGTGATGCCTCGTTGTTGGCAGAGGAGGTCACAGCCAGAGAAGCCAGGGCAGGGAAGAGGCTCTCCATCTCAGGCTCCTCGGAGAGGTTGTCCTCACTGTCAGCCTGGCCATGCTTGTCCGCCTCGCTAGGCCAGCCCTCCATCATGGCACCATCCTTCTCAGGCAGGACCACGTCCAGGCTGCCAGGGATGGACATGAACTCCTCCATGCTCTCGTTGGCAAGAAGGTCACTCTCAAGGCTGTCTTGCACTGCCAGCTCCTCCCGAGGGGCCTCGTCCCGGGAAGTGGTGGCTTCGCTGCTCTGCCCATCTTCCACACTGCTATCCCCAGGTCGGAACACAGCGGGGAGGCTGCGCTGGGCATCTAAGACACTGTCCTCGGTGCTGAGACTGGGCTCCGAGTGCTCCGAGAGGCCGGAGGAGAAGTTGTGGGAAGATGGGTGTCCGGAGTCTGGAGAGCAAGTGCCATTTGCCGGGTTCCCATTGGGGATTTTGGGTTGTTTCTCCTCTGACCTGCCCTCTACCTCTGTCTGTTCCACCTCATCCACAGACTCAAACACCTGAGGGAAGGGACATACAGACATGCAGGTCAGGATGTGCATGGCAGCACAGTTTACAGCAGCATCTTAATGACCAACAACAAGGGATATTTCCATATGGAGTTTGTGTGTAGTGGAATAGCATGCAGTCAGTACAAAGGTGTTTGCTCTTTAAGACAATAATCCAAGTGATTATCTTGTCACAGCTGACTCTGAGGAGGGCAACTAGGGAAATGAAGTTTGGAGAGAAAGTGGCTTTTCACCATACAGACTTCTAACACCTAGATTTATTTGTGGTTCTCTGTGTCCTTCAGCTGTAGCCCTCAAGGTCACAGTAGAGACCAGGTTCCAAAGCCTCACGCTGTTTCTCTCTGTGCAGCCACCATCAGTTTTGATTTACTGGGTCTATTTCTGCTGTTTTTGTGGGCAGTGCTGGAACCTCTCATAGGCTAGGTACACACACACACTAAGGTTTTTAGGTGGCATTCTGTGCACATTTTTATGCTTTTCACTAAAAACAGCTGTTTAATTTTTCATTTATATATCTATGTGTGTATGCCCACATGCATGCAGGTGCCCTTGGAGTCCAGAAGAGGGCACCAGGTCTTCTGGGGTTACACCTGGTTGTGAGGCACCTCACACAGGTGCTGGGAATTGAACCTGGGTCCTTTGCATGAGCAATCCATACTCTTAACCACTGAGCCATCACTCCAGACTGCTTTTTGCTTTTCTTTTTGTTTAATGAGGCTCCAGATGGAATAACCTTTATGAATGACACCAAAAGCCCTTGAACAATAAGTTCGCTAGCGTTCAATTGGGGTTTTAAGAACTACCTTGTCTTGCTCTACATTAGGTATTTCTGTGTATGTAAAGGCATCCAGAAGGGTCTGGAAGGCCACCCAGGGGACTGATGATTGCAGCCCTGTTTCAAGGGAGGACTGAGGTGAAAGACAGAAGCAAAGTGCAGACATGTGGTGTGATGCTTTATAGGACAGCAGGATTGGATTCAGCCTCTGAATTCACAGAGGCTGGGTCCAAGATTCAACCAGCCCTGAGTGAAAATACTCCCCTCACCCAAAGCATTGCACCTGCATAGACTGGGCTCAGGCACTGGTCCTTCCTAATGACACAGCCTATTTCCATGTTGTTTGCACTGTGCTGTTCCTGTGAGCCACCTAGAGGTGACTCGAAGAATGCAGTGTCCTAAGCACACGCTTGTCATTTTGCACAAAGAACTTGGGTCCCGGCACAGCCATGTCTCTGGAGGCTGAAAACCACCACTGTGGATTTCAAGGAGGCTGCAACTGCTTGTGCTACTTAGAAAATCCACTTCCAATACTAGCCATAAAAGGCTCAATGCAGGCTATGCGGTTGGCACACACCTTTAATCCAAGCACTCGGAGGCAGAGACAGGCGGATCTCTAAGTTCGAGGCCAGCCTGGTTTACAGAGTGAGTTCCAGGACAGGCTCCAAAGCTACAGTGAAATCCTGTATCAAGCAAAGTGGCTGGTAAATGATGGACATCCAATCCCTTCAACCCAGGTTGGAGGGCGGGGCTTGAGTGATGGGCAGGACATGAGGAGCATGGCCTCTGAAAGTCACCTGTGTGCTGCTGCTGGAGTCGCTCTGCAATCTGAGATTCTGGCGTCCTGAGCTGCAGCTCTGGGAGGACTGAGACGGACAGGAACCAGAGAGACAAAAATGGAAGGTCACACCTGGGGCTGTGTGTTTCAGTACTTCTGTCTTGTAACCTCCCTGCCCCTCCCCACTCTGATGCTAGGCTCTGCCATACAGTGGCTTCAGTCATTTTACTCTAGGCTGCTTAGCTAAAGTCTGTGTGAGAGCAGAGGTCTGCCTTAGCTACCAGAACATTCTAACTTTTTTTAAAAAGGTTTATTTATTATGTATACAATGTTCTGCTTTCATGAGTCCTTGCGGGCCAGAAGAGGGCGCCAGATCTCATTACAGATGGTTGTGAGCCACCACATGGTTGCTGGGAATTGAACTCAGGTCCTCTGGATGTGCAGCCAGTGCTCTTAACCTCTAAGACATCTCTCCAGCCCATTCTGAACATTCTTGAAAGTACTTTCATATAGTAGCTATTCAGAAATCATCAGTTGAACATATAGAGGGCAGATGCTACACTGGAATCTGATACACACTGTCTTCTTAGGGATGTACCCACACCTCCCCTGTTCCCACTGTATGCATGCAGGAACTGAGCCCAAAGGGAAGGCACTGGCAAGAGACTGAGTAGGATTTGAACCTTGATCTGATTCAGAAGTTCTCTCTAGCTCCCCACCCCCGCAAAAAAAGCTACGGGTGAAGTTGTCCCAAGACTCTGCCCCCTCCCGCCAGCAGTCTCCCAGGCCAGCTGTCCATTACCTCGTTGCTGATGGTAGAGTCCCGGTGCAGCATCCGGTGAAGATGGCTATCCAGGCTGGCCCCCGAAGAGCACTTGGCCAGGGCAGCAGCATGGGACTCCCGCTCCCTCTGTCTCACGATGGCCTCACAGCCCAGCCACTCCGACATGGTTTGTGCATAGCAGGCATGGATCTGCTCATCCACCTATCAGCACACATGCAAGGTCACAGGAGGTGCTGAACTCCCTGTGTTCTGACCTGACCACATGTGTGTAGTTAGCACCCTGACCTGTCCACACGCATGTAGTCAGCACCCACCCGATACGAGCTTAGTGATGTCCTGTGCTGAGAAATACTACAGAGCAGGCCACTTCACCCCTCTCTCCTTCCGTCGCTCCTCTTTTTACTAATTCATTCAGTCACACAACATTCAACCGTTTGCCTGATTTCTCTATTTCCTTGGTTATCAATTACTTGATCCATTTACTCATTAGTTTCTTCTCATAAGTACCCACAGTATGCCAGGCGCCAAATCAGGCATATAGATTACAAGATGAACAAAATTCTGCTATCCATCCACCCACCCATCTCATCCACTCTCTCCTGTCCATCCATCCACCCATCTGTCAGGTGAGGGACACTCAGAAACAGCTGGTGGCAATATCAGATGGGACAGCCATTGCTGGAGTTCCTCATTTTCTTCAAGATTGAACATGCTTCCATCACATGACCTGGTACTTTCACTACCAGGCATTTCCCAACACTCAAAACCTGCACTAGATATCAGTTGCAGTTAGCGATTCTTAGACAAAAAATGTAAATAAAGATTTGCGGCAATGCCCAGTTATCAATCACCCAATTCGGAGTGAAGCTGTGGCATATGCACACAGGGATATTCAGTTATTAAAAGGGAACAGGCAATAATAGAACAGTTTGGATGGATCTAGAGATTTGTACCAAATGAAAAGTCAATTCCCAAAAATTTCCATACTACATAACTCCTGAATAAGAGAAAATTCTGGAAATGGAAGACAGGTAAGTAGGAGCCAGGGATTAGGGTGGAATGGAGGTAGGTCTGGTTCCAGAAGGACAAGGTGAGGATTCTTAGGGCACCAGAAAGTACAAGTCTGCACACATGGAGAAATAAGTACACACATGCACACACCAGCATGCACACACACACACACACACACACACACACACACACATACACACACAGGAAATTACAGGAGGATGGAGAGGCCTGAGTGAAGTAGCTACTGTACTAGTATCAGTGCTCTGTGACATCACAGCTCTGTTGGAAGTCACCATGAGGAAACTGAGTCACACAGGTCCCTGCCTCCTACAAATGCATAGGAGTCTATGTGACCTCAGAACAGGAGGCCAACTTATTTGAAGATTCCCTTGTGTCGTATTTCCACCACACAACTCTTTCTTCGATGTTCCTCTCTCTTCCCTGTCACCAGTAACACTGCAACAGGCAAGCAGGGCTCTACAACACCCAACTGCACAGCACCCAGCTCCACAGCACCCAGCTCCACAGCACCCAGCTCCGCAGCACCCAACTGCACAGCACCCAGCTCCGCAGCACCCAGCTCCACAGCACCCAGCTCCGCAGCACCCAGCTCCACAGCACTCCTCTCTGCAGCACTCCTCTCCGCAGCACCCAGCTCCTTTCATTGCCCTTACAAGAGACCGACCTCCTTCCTCTCCAGCTCCGTCATCCCAAACTGGTAGTGGCCCAGGAGGAAGGGCCAAACAGCCCTGCGGATCTCAGGCTGGACACCCCCGTAGTAGATGAGCCGCAGTAGCTCCTGCTCAGGGTAAGTCTGTTGGAGAGGGGCAAAAAGTCTGGTCAACAGAGAAGCCAAGGGTGACCTGTGGCCCTGCAATCTTGTTTCGGTGGTGAGATCTGGTGCAAATGAGCAAAGCCACATCTTTTGTGTCTGGAACATTCCCCCCAAATGCCTGTGTTAATGACTTGGTCCCTAGCTCGGCACTATTGGAATCTGGTGGGGCCTTGAAGAGCTGGAGCCCCATGTAGGTCTTAGGGCATGGTGGAGGGATGGTGGCTCAGCCCCACAGGAAGACTATCTCTTTCACCCCTGCCATGTGTTCCTGCTGTGCAGCCCTGTGCCGCCATAGGCCCACAGCAAGAGGGTTCACAAGTTTTCACAACTGAGTCAAGATAAACCATTTTTCTTTATAAGCTGCTCAGTCTGGGAACTTGTTACAGCAACAGAGAGATGGCATAGTACAGAAACACTTAACTAACCCTGGCTATCACAGGAGGAGCTAAACTGGACCATCCAAACAACCCACTGATGGGGGCACTGGGGGTGTGTGGCAGGGGTGTTGGGGACATGCACATTGCTGTGCTGAGACTCATACGGGGAGTCACAAGAGCAACCAGTACAGGAATGAGGACTGACGGGAGGGGAGACCAAAGTGTGAGGTGCAGTGGAAAAAATAATGAAAGATATGACTGTCTAGGGTAAGCCTGTTTTTAATGGGATGACAGGTGTGAAGGTGCGTGCAGTGATCCCAGCAGTCAAGGTTGTCTTTAGTTACATGGAGAGTTTAAGGCCAACCAACATGAGACCCCAATCTAAGCTAAGGAATCCAAAAACCAAAAGGAGGAGGAGGAGGAGAGAAGACAGAAGGGGGCAGGAGGAGGAAGCATGTGCCCAAGACAGTTTCCATTTGATCCTCCCGCAATCTCAGAGTTAGCTTGAAGAAAATTACTCTAAAGCAAAATAATGAGAAACAAACATTTCAGCTGCCTCTTCTTACACCAGCAGCTTTCTGCACAGGAGAGGCTCTTGAGGTTTCCTGTAGTGCGGGATTGGCTTTGTTACTTCAAGAAAAATCATGGCTGCAAGCTTTGCAGCTACAGTGTAGCCTTGGGCAGCCTGGGAACTCTGGCCACCTAGGTAGATGATGCCACCCAGTTTAGGAATCAGAAAATGGGTTGTGGCAAGAATGTAAAGTCTTCATCAGAAAAGACTTCCTTTTTTAAAGGGGGGGACTGCAAGGAGAGCCATCTGTACCTCGACTTTTTTTATTCCCATTGCTTTTATTTTATGACTTTATAAAATGACCCATCTCCAGGCTTCTCATTTCTTTTTGAGTAAATCTCAGTAGTTGTAGTCTCTAGGAGTTTATGGGTTCTGTGTTAGTTTGCTGGTACATACGTTCTCATAGTATTTGCGTGTTATCTTCCATTCCTTTGCCTGTCCAGTCTGTAGTGATGTCTCCTCTATGACTTCTGACTGTGGTCCTCTACATCACACACACACACACACACACACACACACACACACACACACACACACAAGCACACACGCATACACTCACACACACACACCCATATGGTTCTGATTAAGAAGGTATTTCCGAGCTTCTCTGGTCTTTCCTGAGAGTCAGCTTTATCTCCATCTCTTATCTCTCCTCTGTCTGATCTAATTCTGCTTTGGTCACTATCCATCCTTCCTCCTGTCTTCTGTTTACTTCAGGTTTGGTTTGCTGCCGCCCCTGCCCCAACATTAAGATAGAAGTTTAAGTTATAGATTTGACATCTTTCTTCATTTTACTCTATAGGTAAAACCTGGGTCTTTGCCTGTATGTATTTTATGTGCATGTGTGAGTCCCTCCATAAGTTCATGTGCACTGCATGCATGCCTGGTCCCTCAGAGACCAAAGGACAGTGGCAGATCCTTTGGCACTGGGATCACTGGGGCCATTGTGAGCTGCCTGCTGTGGGCGCTGGTAACCGAACTCAGTCTCTCTCCCACAACAGCTAGTGCTCTGAACCACAGAGTCATCTCCACAGCCCCTAGACCTCTGTGATACTATGCTATGCTAAATTTTAACATTTCTTGTTTTATTTGTGGCCTTTGGCTCCTGTTGCTTGCAAATGCCACAGCTGCAATTATTTCCTACAATGAAAAGTCATGAGATCATAATAAAAACAGAAAATCCAGTTCCTGGGCGCCTGGATCCACTGGACTCCATTTCCCAGCCTCCTTTGCAGCTAGATGTGGTCATATGACAGTTTTTGGCCAATGGGTATGAGAGGAAGTAATTGAAGCTATTTTCAGGCGGGTGGGGGGCAGGGGAGGAAGGTGGAGGGTTCCCACAGACTTTTCAGGAGACTCCGAATGCCAGGGAATGTCAGGCTCACAAGTCTCACAGGTGAAAAGAGATGTGCACCCACCGACATGACTCACAGTGAGAAATAAGCCCAGTGTTGCCTGGCAACCAGATAGCGGGGACTGTGTTCCTGGCACTCAGTGTACCCAGCACAGGAAGGTGGCTAAGCCGTGACAAAGGGCCAGACAGTAGCAGGAGAGTTCACTGAATTCTCTTGGGCTCATCTCTTGTTTCACCCAATTTGACCTTAAATTGATGTCTCCCAAATTGGATCACGGAAGCTCTATGGGGACTTTAGAAACACAGGCGTGGGATCCTCCCGGGGAGATGCAGGCTCTGCTGAGCTGGAGCTGAGCCTAGAAGCCGTTCCACAGACTCCCAGGAATCACCAGGCGGCTCACACTGTGACCGTGGGAGGTTGCAGAGTACTCTGGCTTATCTATTTCACGTTTTAACACACAGCAATCACCTTCTAGGAACCCATTCTCAAAATCAAAATGCCAGTAGTGAGGGAGGGTAGGAGCTAGGGTGCTGCCGTCACGGGGGTGGGGGGTGGGGGTGGGGGAGTGGGGGCGGTGGGGGCATGGGGCTCCTAAACCACTGAAAATGACTCTTTAAAAGAGTTAGAAGGAGCCGGGCAGTGGTGGCGCACGCCTTTAATCCCAGCACTCGGGAGGCAGAGGCAGGCGGATCTCTGTGAGTTAGAGGCCAGGCTGGACTGACAGCCTCCAGAACAATACAGAGAAACCTTGTCTCGTAAAAACCAAAAAAAAAAAAAAAAAAAAAAAAAAAAAAAGTTAGAAGGAAAACAAACAAAAAATAGAGCTAGAGGGAAGCCGGGCAGCGGCAAGTGGCTATGTGAGTTTGAGGCCAGCCTGTCTACAAAGCTACACAGAGAAACCCTGTCCTGGTGCAGGTCTGCAAACCCAGCCCTGACACTATGGAGGCTGATTGGGGAGGTGGGGGCTGTGAGTGCAAGGCCAGCCTGGGCTATCTAGTGAGATCCATCCTCCACACTCCACCCCACAAAACTCAGGCAACAACAAATTAGAATTTTAAAAAAGGAATGCCTGTCAACAGGAAATTAAATAAATCGTGGGCCACTCACTAAGAGCTTAGTTTTGACTGTCTCTTTGAGATCTGAAAGAAGAGTCTGGAAGAAAAGCTACTGACTAAAGATAGAAGAGGTCTATTCTGCTGCTCACAGTTGAGAGATTGATCTAGAGGCTGGGAGATGGCGCAGCCGGTGAAGGCACTTGCCACCAAGCCTGACGACGCAGTTTCCGTGTGGTGGAAGAGAAAACTAACATGCCTAAGCTGATGTCTTCTGACCTCCACATGCACACTGTGGCATTTGTGTAACCCTGGCACACATAAGAAGTAAATACTTAAAACATTAAAAAATATAAATAAGGTAGATACAAATATTAGGGTATGGCTATTTAAATATTACCATATTATTATATATTACTCTATAGCTATAGATGAGAGATCAAAGATATGATATATAATAAACAGAGAAATATATGAGCTATGTAATATGCAGTTAGGTATAAATGTATTTTTACATATCAGTAGATGTGTAGATTAAAAAATTCTTATGAACTATTTATATGTTATATGACTTATATGTCTTTTGTCTGTGTGTGTTTGTTTATTTATTTGAGATAGGGACTCACTATGTATCCCTGGCTGTGCTGGAACTCACTCTGTAGACCAGGCTGGACTTGAACTCACAGAGATCTGACTGCCTCTGGCTCTCCAGTGCTGGGATTAAAGGTGTGCGCCACCATGCCTGGCTTTGACTTGTATGTCATAAAGTGTTCTGTGGGGCAAATCTGTGTGTACATACATGTTCTATGGGTTAGCTCTAGGAGCTTTGTGTGGTACTGTGTCTGGTTTTGATTGCCAACTTGATAGAGGCTAGTATCATGTGAGAGATGAGCCCCTCTGGGCTCTGGTCAGGCCTCTGGGGGATCAGCATGATTATGTTAATTAGTGTGGGGAAACCTGTTTTAATTGTGGGCAGTGCCATTCCCTAGGCTGGGGAACCCCAGGACTGAGATGAGCAGCTTCATCTCTCTCTCTCTCTCTCTCTCTCTCTCTCTCTCTCAGATTTGTTTGTCTATTGTGCATACAGTGTTCTGCCTGCATGTATCCTTGCAGGCCAGAAGAGGGCACCAGATCTCATTACAGGTGGTTGTGAGCCACCATGTGGGTGCTGGGAATTGAACTCAGGACCTCTGGAAGAACAGCCAGTGCTCTTAACCTCTGAGCCATCTCTCCAGCCCCACCTCTCTATTTCCTGACCGTAGCTGAGATGGGACCAGCTGCCTCATGAGCCTGTAGCCTTGACTTCCCCACTACAGTGGAACATATGTGAAACTGTAGCAAAAACAAACCCTCACACCTTTAAGTTGCTTCTGTCGTGGTTATTTTATGACAGCAACAGGAAGAGAAACCCAGGCAGCTGCTGTGTATCTACACAGCTTTGTCGCTGTAGGTACAGAAACAAAGACAAGGGTACAGATGGACAGCACTGGGCCAGGTACCCAGGCTGTAGCCTGAGGCAGACAGACAGACAGCAGGTGCCCAGGGTATGTCCTGCAACAGACAGTGTGGGAGCAGGTGCCTGGGTCACAGCCAAAGGTCCACATGTGCCCCAAAGTAGTTATGAATTCATCACAACACATTATCATAAATTTACTCAGAACATTATGAACCTGGAACTCACAAAGTGGCTTAGGCTGATGTCAAACTCACAATCCCTCTGCCTCAGCTTAATGAGAGCCACAGTGACATTTGTGTACCACTGTTTCCTTCGTCTCTTCCAAGTTGAACAGTCCTTGTCCCTAATGTTTGGGCCCTCGGGTTTCGGATTTCAGATTTTCTTAGATGTTTGAATAGGTGTGTGTGTGTGCGTGTGTGTGTGTTTATTTACAGGGATGCACTACGTCTAAACACGAAATCCATATATTTAACATACGCGTATACACATGGCCTGAAGGTCGTTTTATACAGTACTGTTAGTTCGTGGCATGTTTGTGACCCGTCATGTGAGGTCGGTTGTGGGATTTTTCCACTGTGGTTTCATAGCAATACTCAGTTTCCATTTCAGAACATTCTGGATTTGGGGTTTGGGATTGGGATGCTGTACCTATGAATGTTTTCTGACCCCCTCACAGTTTCACCTGGCCAGGGCTCAAGTCAGCTGTGGGTCTTGGGACTTGAGGTTCATGTTCAGATAGACCTGTCTACCTGGGTCCCTGTGAGACTGGCCTGACAAGATGGCCTCCCTCCACTCTGCCCTCTGGTGCACAAGACCCGCCCTGCCCTACTCACCGTGCTGTCTTGGATGTACTGCTCCCAGATGCTGGCTGTCAACCCTTGCCCAGCGTCACAGGGCAGGTCTGGAGACACTATCATGTGATTGACCAGGGCCGACAGGTGGGTCCTCACGGTGGACAGGTGTCTGCAGTAGGCGAGCCCTGCCCCGGAGGGAAGGCAGATGTCATCTTCTACCCAGCACACTTCACCCAGTCTCTCTAGAATGCTCCATGGGACTGTCCTGTTACCCAACCTCATCTTCAGGGCCCCCAACCCAGAAAATTCTCACCGTCCCCTTTCTGGACAAAGAAAGCAAGTTGGGGACAGGTGGTTTGACTACTAAACCCTAGGAATGTTTTGTCTTTTTTGGACACCACCCTCCTCTGCTGGAAGCCAAAGCAATTCACAGATGTGCAGTGGGTAGGGAAGGGACAGGAAGGCAGAGGAGCCGAGGACTTCTGGGTCCACTCTGGGCCTGCCTCCCATTCATATAGAAAGAACAAAGGTCAGATATGAACAGAGTCACTGCTGTTTGGAGAAGGGAGTGCCTGGGAGATTCGGCATGCTCTGCTTGCTTTCCAAGATGGTCCTGTGCCCTCAGACCTAACCTGACTGCAGCGAGTACCTGCCAGGGCACCCTCATCCACTTTGCCCTGGGTGCCAGGAAGCTGCCCAGCATACGAGGCACTCCATAAATGCTTCTTGAAGATCACAGCAGTGACAGAGAACTGTACTCACATCCATAGAAGGCCCTGGAAAGGATCTGGTACTTCATGTTATCACAGAGCAGTTTCAGCGGAGCCCTGCAGGCAGGGGATGGGGGAGAGAGGGAGGGGGAGGGGGAGAGAGAGGGAGGGGGATGAAAGTAGAGGGTCACACACTGCTAAGCTGCTCTGCAGAGGGACCATCCATGCTCCACACAGCAGATCGAAGTCAGCTGTCAGGGTGGAGGCTGCTGTGGCTCCCATCCACGTACCCCTTCTCTGCCACACCCAAGGTTTCCCTGGGGGAATCACGCCTTCATCGTGCCTCTGTGGCTTGGATGCAGGTTGATGATCACTCAATACATGAACACGGCTGAGAAGTTGGGTCACGTGACCCAATGGGCCAATGAGAACCAGCCCTGGAATTTTTGCTGCATCTACCTAGAAGCATGCTCTTTCTTCTGCCTGAGTTTCTAAGCTAGTGTGATATAGCAGTGGCTGTTGGAAGCCTTCGTGGCCATGGCCAGGAAGGACCAGCCCAAGAACAGACCACCATAAAGGCACACCCACCCCTCATCTGAAGACCTGGAGTTGTTCCCATTCCGAGCATCTGGAACCTGCCAGGCCCAAAGCCACTGTGCCCAAAACCTCTTAATCAGGCTAGCACATTTTCTTTCTTTTTCTATTTTTTTTTTGAGACAGGTTATCATGGTATAACCCAGGCTGGCCTGGGTTCATCCTCCTGCCTCAGCCTCTTGGGTGCTGGGATCACAGGCCTACTTCAATACACTCATCTGTTCTTTTATTTTTCTTGGACCAGTTTGAAGTGATCTCCTATAAAGTGGTCCATGGAATTGGCCAGGTAGACTGCACAGTAGGCAGGACTCAGAGCCACTGTTCCCTGCACAATGCTTATATTACTGTTTTGAGTGAAAAGAGAAGAGCAATACTTAGCATGGCTGTGGAGATGAGGACTGAGGAGAACTGTGTGCTGTTACAAAGGACAGAACGGGAGAATCTTAGTGCATTATCCTGAGGCTATCCCAGTGACATCAGACAAATCCAGCAAGGGAGCATAGCTAAAGTCCTAGTATACACACAGAGGGAGTCCCTTTTCCTGCCCTCGGGGTGTTCATGGTGCATATAGTAAGCTGTCCCTCTGGGGGCTTGGCACCCTGCAAGGAGGTGAGCTCCTCATTGATGCAAGTATGTAAGTAGATGCTCTGAGGGCAGGCACTGGGCAAAGTATCATTTCTCAGTGGTCCATGATGATCACTTGCTAGTTCCTTCTAATAGCCGTACTTATAGTTAATGTATTGTGGAGGAGCACAGAACACAGGGCAATTGTTAAATACTATTTCTGACTCCTAGTGCATGCTGGGCCTGTATTTCTTGGCTTCCTTGTGAGTAGGGACCCTGAGTTGAAAGCAGAAATACCATTGCCTCTGATATGGAGACTAGTGACATCCAAGTCGATGTCCATTAGAAAGCAGAGCCACGGCACGCAGGACCCTTTGGCATTTATTATAAAAAGCCATGGGTGTTTCAGGACTGTTTGTTACTGCATCAGAACTTTACCTTGACTGACACACGCAAGGGAATTCCAGTGGCTACAACACACAAGGCTATGATTTAAACCTAACTCTTGGGGATCCATAGGCCATGTTTACTCCTCTCAAAATTTAGGGCAAGACAAGAAATAGACAGCCACAGGACTTTGGTCATTGCTTCAAACTCCTCCATGTATAGCCTAAGCCCCACCTACCTCTCATGGTTGCAGCCATTGGTTGAGCTGCCATCAGCCGAGCCGCTTTGTGAACAAGAAGAGCAGGAAGACTTCCGAGGACTGGGTTGCCATAGCGATGGAAGGTTGTTCACGGAGACATCCATCAGGTCCTGGGGCACTGTGGTGGGGAGTGGGTGGGAAGGGGGCCCGGCAATAACCTTGGTTAAACCAATGAGGATTGCAGAAACCTGACCCCAAAGTAAGCAGCTCCCTCAAAGCTGGCTTAGGGAGAGGGAGGATCTCAGTGTGACAGTCCCAAATGTGCCCAACCACAATCTCATGGAGGCCCCGAGCCCGCCTGATCCGGTGAGAACCACCACCAAGACTCAGAGGCTCTGGCTGTGGAGCAGAGCAGAGGGCGGGCGAAGGCGGAAGATGAGAGGGAGCAGTGCAGAGCCAGGAAGACTGCAGACGACCTCACCTTGCCATGCCCTCATTCAGTGCTGCTCACAGGAAGGTGACATCAGGGAAGGGGGACCTACTGGGCACTTCTGGGGAAAGGCTGGAGGGCCTGAGCTCCAAGAGCACCTCTACAGAGCTTGTGGGGTAAGAAGGGAAGGAAACCATCTGAACACACAGGTGGAGTCCCTGGGAATCTAGCCAGGGAGAGCATTAACGCTGTTCACACTCCTGAACTAGAAAGCATCTTCAACAGGTGACTCAGATGGGGGCTCCTCAAAAAGCCATATGTGAGGCTAGAGAGATGGCTCAGTGGCTGCTCTTCCAGAGGACCCAGGTTCAGTTCCCAGCACCACAGACTTAACAACTGTCTGTAACTCCAGTTCTAGGGGATCTGAAACCCTCAGGCCAATGTATGTAAAATAAGGTAAAATAAATTATGTTTTAAAAAAGCCATATGCCCATCTAGCAGCCCTGATGTCCTAGAGCCAAAACCCTCAGATACAGCCATTTCACAATGTAGATTCCAGGGATTGGACTCAGGCTGTTGGGCATGGGTAACAAATGCCTTTACTCACTGAGCCATCTCGATGATCCAAGACCTGTCTTTCTCTTGCTGTTTTACAGTCAAGGACATAAACCATGCCCCCAGCTCCTGGGCTGTACAGAACAGGGCTGGATTTGCCCCCTGGGTAGGGGTTTGCTGATCCCTGCTCTCAGACAGGAGATGGGTACTCATTCTCTCACTTGCTGTGGCCTCTGAGGACACAGCTCTCATCTAGACTCTTCTCCTGAGCCCAGAGCAGGAGAGAGAGACTTCTTCAGAGACCAGCAGCTGACTGGGTCATCCTGACCCACGAATCAGAGAAGCATGCTGGTTTCAGAATGAGGCTCTTGCCCCCACTGGCAGTGTCTGGTTTCACTTTCCCTCCTCTCAGACTCACCACCGAGCTGGCCAGAAAATACCCTGATTCTCAGCCTGGCACAGGGGTGGCAATCATGCCTCCAGAACTGGTGCCATGCAGATAGCACCACTGAGTCACAGAACCTAACGGCTGCCTTCTGTGGGGTGGAGACTGAGAGGCACCTAACACTGAAAAACTGTCCATGTGTTTGCCTTTTCCATTTTCCTTGGGAACAAGACTCAAATGACGACATGGCTGAAGCGGCACCCAGCCCCGGAGGAAGGGGAACCAGACATTACTGGGGGGCTGCTCCTTCACACTCCGTGTGGGGGTGGTGAGGTACCCTCTGGCGTGTGCCCACTTGATCCCCCTGGCCACCACCAGAACAGACTGGCCAGCAGCAAGCATCACCCAGGCAGGGCCAACGGACACGGGTCGAGGGCTGCCCGAGAGGTCAGGGGAAACTTGGGACAGAAAACAAAAAAGAATCAGTGAGGAGGGAGGGCTAAGGCAGGTGGGACAGAGACCACCAGAGAAGTTAGATCCCTCTGGGTTCTAACATTTCCCTCACCCTGCTCCACACAGCTCCCACACATATTCTGCTGATCATAGGAGAAAGCCCCGGGCATTTATAAATCGCCTACTCTGTGCCAGGCACTAGGTCAGGTTTGCCATTTATCCTTGGTGACCTGTAAAGAAGGCAGTTTTTTCCCCCTCACTTTGCAGAAATAACAGAGACTCACAGCAGCGGCATGGGGAAATGACAGTAATTGGGAAACAGACTAGGGCCTGTTTCTCTTTAAGACATGGACTTGCCCAGCAGCCCTGGCTGGCCTCAAACTCGAATTCCTCCTGCTTCAGCCTCCTGAGTGTTGGATTACAGTGTGTTGCCTCACATCTGGCTCAGTCCAGGCTTGTGCGTGTGTGCGCCCATGTGTGTCTGCACAGGTACACACATATACGTGGATGTCTGTGCCTGTCTGTGCACATGCTTGTGGAGGCCAGAGGTCAGCCTCAAGTCCTGTTCTCCAATACCATGTGTTTTGGCTTTTGAGACAGAGTCTCTCACTAGCCTGGAACTTGGCAAGTAGGATAAGCTGGCTGGCTAGTGAGACCCAGGGGATTGCCTGACTCTGACACCCTAGCACCAGGGTAATAAGCCCTTGCCATTATGCCATACCTGGATTTGTGCGTGCGTGTGTGTGTGTGTGTGTGTGTGTGTGCGCGCGTGTGTGTGTGCGTGCGTGTGCGTGTGTGTGCGTGTGCGTGCGCGTGTGTGTGTGTGTGTGTGTGCAAGCTCATGCACACATGCTGGTGTGTACACACAAGTGTTGCATGCACAATATGTTTGCATGCAGAGGCCAGAGCAAGATCTGGGGTCTTTTCTTTTATCCTTTATTACTTTATTCCATTGAGGGTCTCTTACAAATTAAAGGCTTGCCATTTTGGCTGTGCTGACTAGCCAGGGAACATTTGGGTTTATCTACCTCTGTCCCCCAGTGCTGGGGTCATGGGCATGTGCAATAAAGCTTGGCTTTTTATTAGATATTTGAATTCAGATCTTTGTGTGTGCATTGACCCCTCATAACTCAAAGTGAGATACTGACAAGAGGGATCACACAGTAGCTAGTGTGCTGAATGCTTGCAGCAGACAGCCCATTTCACAGATGAGGAAAAAGAAGACCAGGGAGGGGATGAGTAGAAACCTGCCCACATCAAGCCATGGTTCCAGAATGTCTCTATTAGTGTCACCTCCTGCTCAGTGGCATCTTTACTAGCTGAATAAGGGGTGGCTGTTAGTTCTCATTTTGGAGGAGATGGAAGGTACTGGGACACTTTTGGTTCTGAGTCCCCTTTGCTGGCCCCAGACCTGTTGCCCCCTTCTTGTAACATTTGGAGTGGTTCTCAGGAGAAGCCACTGAGTGCAGGGTCCAGGGATGCTCACCGAATTCGGACTGCATGCCAGGGTAGATAATGCGGAATACATAATCCGTGGCTTCGTCATCCTCTTTATCGGAAGATGTGGACTCTGAGGATCCCTGTGGGCTCCGCTTGCGTAGCTTAGGAAATACCTTCCCCTGCAGGAACATATCCCAGGGCGGGCTTCAGAGAGCCATCTGTCCCCAAGCCTGGCAATACTGAGGGTCTCAGAGGGGAGCGCAGGAGCTCACCAAGTCCAGTGATACCACAGCTGGCATCACCCCCGCCTCCAAACAGCTGACCCCTCACCTTTCCTCGCTGTGACCAAAGCGGTGGGTCCAGCTGCCCGTGCGGAAGAAGCCCATTCTCCAGGCACGAGAGGAATTGTAACAGGTGCCCACCTTTGGGGAAGCGGAAGGGTGGCCTCTGGATCCCGTCCTGACTCACCAGCACGACAGTCCCACCGCTGTCCACTGCCACCACCAGACAATAGAGAACAGTAGGTATCACTGTGATTCTGCAAACACATGCCTCCACCCTCAAGACCAACCAGACTCAGGGGAGCCATCTCTGAGTTGTAAATAACTCCTAAGAGCACGTATTAAACACCTAATGCATATCAATACTGTGTGTTCATAGTTCTGTCTTACTGTAACTCCCAGAACATTCCTGTGAGGCTTAGCTATTATTACCTATTTTACAAGGGACAAAACCAAGGCTCAGAGAGGTTTTGTATCATCCCCAAGGTCACACAGCTGGTAAATTGCAAGGTCTGGATCAGAACCAAGGTCTGCCTTAGTAAAGGGGATTAAACCATTGAGTTCCATACCTAGATGAGGCTCAGCTCATCCTGCTTATTCTAAATATATCTTCTTCTGGCTTTAGTGGAATATAGTGGTTACTGATCTCAGGTCTGCACACAACTGATTTCAAATGCACAAAGATATGGATTTAAGTCCTGCCTCCAGAGCCAACAGTCTGTGTCACTTCCTATCTGATTGCACTACACCACCCTGTCACTAAGTGGTTACTTTGCATCTGGCTGCACTACACCACCCTGTCACAAAGTGGCTACTTTGTATCTGGTTGCACCATGCCAGACTCAGAGAGGTAAAGCCATTTGCTCCAGGAGGCATACCAGAATGTCTTGTGATGCTAAATGAATGGTGAGAAGGGATAGGGATCCAGGATGGATGCCCAGCCAACTGCTGTCCCTGTGATTCCCTACCTTGCTGGTGACAGTGCAGGTAAACGATTTCCTCTAAGCGGATGGTCACAGCGTAATCCCAGTAGACGCTGGAAGGGGAAAGGGGAAAGGAGACTGCAGGAAGCCAAAAGACCAGTCCAGGGGCACACCTCTGCCTTTTCACCAAGGCCCACTTGTCTCAACATCTGTGTCCCCAGACTATCCAGCCATCCCCCCTACTCTTGGTCTCAGTACCTCAACTTTCTGAAGAACCCTTCTTTTCACTGTCTATATGGTTACCTGAGCTGAACTCTGCCAAGTCTCCACCCTGGGACTCTGGAATGATCACCTGACCCAGACCAGCCAATCAGCACTGAGTAGTCACAGTGATTAATGCATGATTGGCACTGGTGCTCAAAGTATAATGGGGGGTGATCATATGTATGCTTAGATGGCCCAGGAAGAGCTTGTTCCTGCCCAGGAGTGTTCAGAACCATGCCAGGAAGGTCTGTCTGAGCCCACAGCCCACAGACAGGAGGGCAAAGACCAGAGACAGGAGGAGTTCAGACACAGCTGTTCAAGTCCCTGTGTCCAGCCTGAGGTCTTCTGTTCCTGGGTTCTTCAGATCACTGGACAAATGCTCCAGTTAGTTTGGGCTTGACGTTTTCTTACCTGAAAGCTAAGCAGTTATGCTAGCCTAGAACCTTCTCTCCAGGCCACCACGTGACCACGGGCATAAGTTAGAATAGCCACTTCCAGCTCTGACCTTACAGGGGCCGGTAGTGTCACTCGAGGGTTTCTATGAGCCTCAGTTTTCCTGTCTATAAAATGGATGCTCCAATAAGATCCCCACTGTAGTGTTTCTCTGTGGATTCAATAGAATCTTCATCTGAAGGACTCAACCCAGAACCCCTTACACAGTCAACTCAGAACACAGTGCTCAGGGCATGGCCACTCTGAGTGCTGACTTAACAATGTATTTCTAGCCCAGAACCCAGCCCCATCCTAAAATAAATGATTTCCCCCATCAGAACACCATAGGAAGGGGACCTGGGAATGTGGGCTTTGTGGTAGCCTAGGAAGGCAACCACTTAGAAACTCCATACCAGGGATCAGAGTTCAGTGGTACTGCAATCCACCCCCCAGATCCGCCACGGTTCCACCAAGCTGCCACGATGCCAGCCAGGACTGAGCACATGGGCATGGTCCAGGCTCATCCCTGGGAAGGAAGAAGCCCCCTATGGATCCCTCAAGCCTGGGGTCTCCCAGATGGCCTGGTGGATAGTCTTCCTGTGTGGCCTTCCTTCCTCTCTCCTTTGCCACCATGCATGGGGTCTGAGTCTTTTTGTTTCAACTCCTGCTTCTGCCCTCAGCTCCCCAGCCCAGGTCTTTCCCCTCCCCCAAATCTCTTTTTCAGAGATCCTTGCGTGGCAACTGTCCCATGGGAGGACCCAGACTAACACAGGCTGCATCCCACTTCTGACACCTCCTGTGGACCGCCTCTCTCCACTCTCTCTGCCTCTCAGTTGGAGTCAGAGCAGAATATCACTACATGCCTTGAGTACCAGCCGGCCAGGGAAGTGGACATCCTCGATGGTGGTTAGCAACCACGGTGCCCTCTCTGCTTATTGGTCCTCCCTGTACACATGTGCACACTCTGCAGTACAGATGAGGAAACTGAGGCTGTGTGTGTGTGTGTGTGTGTGTGTGTGTGTGTGTGTGTGTGTGTATGATTGCTCAAGGTCACCTGGCTTGAGGGGTGCAGTTCCTGATTCAGTCTGATGTGTCCTCACAGCTTGGCTGAGTTGTCATTTGCAGTCCCTGTATTTGCTATCCTTACACGTTGATAGTTCTGCATTTAAAAATAATTATTAATTAATGGGGTGTGTGTGTGTGCCATGTTGAATGAGTGGAGGTCAGAGGTCACTTCTCTCCTTCCATCAGATGGGTTCCAGGGATAGAACTCAGGTTGTCAGTCTTGGGAGAGTAGATGTGAGCAGCTGACCACACCTTCCCCCAAGGCTCTGCCATTTGACTCCAGGTGCTCCCAAGGTTGGTGTTCCTTCTGAGGCCATAGCAGCAGGGAAGCTGGGCTAGGTAACCATAACAACCAGGTAGAATGGCAGGCAGGGCCCTCTTGTGTCTAGGACAGTAGAGGGACCCAGTTGAAATTCTCTCACCTCTTCTCATAGTCGAGGTCCCCCATGGACCCGTTCATCAGCTGGTTGGGTGTCCACTTCAGGGTCATAACATCAGCTGTCTGGTGCAGAGACAGGTACCCTGGCACAGCCTCCATGTCATCTCTCTGCAGAGAGAGGAGAACTCAGGCAGGGCCAGGTGGTTGGACTCCAGTGGACAGGGTCCTGAGGCCTGACTCAGGGACTCAGAAGCAGAACCAAAGTGCGGGGCTCTTTGCTGCAGCCACTTAGCATCCTTCCCGGTGTCACGCTGAGTAAAGCCACCTGCAGCCTGCTGTCCAGGGTGAGCTTGGTCAAGTCCAGCTGCGAAAGCTGCTCAGTCCAGCAACAGTGCCCCCATCTCTCCCTCTTGAGGCTGTCTCCACGCCAAGGTTCCTTTGAACCCAGTGAAGGAGACACTGCTACTCTATTACCCCTTACAGACAAGGCCCGAATCTAGCCAGTCTTACGGGGTGAAGAGAGGGTGGGCACCCCTATACCCCATCCCATAGATATCACCCAGAACATTTCTCTCCAAGCACCCCATTGTGCTTCCAGCGTGACCCTCTACCTGCCCAGGATCTGCTCCTGGGACCTCTCACCACTTCTCATTATTCCAAGTCAGTGGCTGGGCAAGCAAATGCTCCCACCTCTCTTCTGGGAAGGAGACCCTCCCCACTCCCGAGCTGCAGTCTTATCCGTCTGATCGCCTGCGGCATCTCACAGCTGTGAAGTGAAGTGGCTATCGCTGCAGGATCACACCCAGGCCCAGTCATCACTGTCAATCATCCCCCAGCTGAGCTTGGCAGGGCTGTTATTTTGCAGGGAGGACATACGAGTACATTTTTAAACGTCTCCTGACAGAGGAGCCCATGGTTCAGCTTTGAATGGCAACGCTATTGTGATGTGGACTTGAGAACAGGGTGACAGTCCATTATTCATCTCCCCAGGTCACCCAGGCCCAGGCCCCTCTGAAAAGCAGAGACGGCGTGTTCCATGGGCCTTCAGACCCTCATCGGAGACGACAGTGGACACTCTGTGCTTACCGGAAGTGCTGGGCCAGAGGCCAGCAAGCATTTTGTGCTGAGAGGTTGATGGGAAATGCTTAGGGCTTTGTGAGCCATCTATGTTCATGGTAACCACTCGTCTCTGCCACCAGAGCCTGGCTGGCATGTCGTGTTTCAGTATCTTGATGACTCATACTCTCTCTCTCTCTCTCTCTCTCTCTCTCTCTCTCTCTCTCTCTCTCTCTCTCTCTCTCTCTCTCTCTCTCTCTCTCTCTCTCTCTCTCTCTCTCTCTCTCTCTCTCCCTCTCTCTCTCTCTCTCTCTCTCTCTCTCTCTCTCTCTCTCTCTCTCTCTCTCTCTCCCTCTCTCTCTCTGTCTTCCTCTCTCCCTCCCCCTTCCTCCTCCCCTCCCTCTCCTCTCCTTTTCCCCCTCTCTCCGCCTCTCCCTCCACCCTGTGCTGTGGATGGCACCTTGGACATACTAAGCCCTCTACCCCTGAACTGCACCCCAATGCTTAGCATTCAAAGCTTCTACTTGGTCACTTGAAAAGCGACTGCATCCTAAACTCACGACTTCCTAAATCTGAGGAATTTGGGCCTTGCACCCACTGTGATGCAGATATGACAGCCCACGTGGTGGAAAGACCTGCTCAGGGTCACCCAGCGGTAGAGGCTGCTATCGCGGAGCAGGAGCCTCGCCCTGCTTTCATCTAGCCGAGCCGGACACCATACTAATTATAACCCAAATGACCCCAGGCAGCTGTTGGAGCACAGAAGGCAAGCGATTCATTGAAGCAGCCAGCGTGCGAGCAAATCACAATCCTGCTCCTTGTGCAGACTTCAACGCTGCCGTCTCTACAGTCAGTGCGGCTTGAGCTGCACTGTGAGCACTGGTCAGATGTCATCGAGGAAGAGGGCCACCTTCTCCACACCACACCTCTGCCACGCCGTTTACCGAGTGACAGCAGGGGTGAACAGCCAGGCAGATGGCCTGGTGGACAGGGTGTGAGACTGGAAGAGAACACGGTGGGTGGGCAGAAAGATTGACAAGTGGTGGGGGGTGTGGAGAATGGAAGATCTGACTGGCAGGGCAGCTAGCTAGAGGCATTGCCATTTGTACTTTATATAGATGTATGGATGTGTAGATGCAAACATGCACATATGTGTTGTATAAGTAGCTAGATGAATATATGGGTGGACACAGAGCCAGATGGATACAGGAACTGACACGCAGGGAAGTGGATGGAGGAATGATAGTTCACTAGCAGACAAACTGACAAATGGGTGAATGAACAAGTGGGAGGCCAAATAGAGAGATGATGAATGGACAGATGGGTGGACAGGAAAATATATAATGTAGGCAGGAGGGTATTGGTAAATGGAGGAATAGAAATTATTGAGTGAGTGGGTGGATGGATGGATAAGAGGATGGATGGGTGGATGGATGAATGGATGGGAAGATGGATGGATGGATGGGTGGGTGGATGGAAGGACATATGGATGGAGACACTGCTGGGTATGAAACAACATACAGATGGGAGTTGGATGAGTGGGCAATTATATTGGTAGATGAATGGATTTATAGATGGAGTTGTTGGTAAATACATGAATGGACAGATGGGTGGATGGGTAGATAAATTAATAGGTAGATAAACGGATGAATTAATGGATAGGCAACCTGGAATTAGAGGGAGCTCCCCTGCCCCATAACCTGTAGCCAAACCCTCAGAGTGCAATCTAGTCCCACCCCAAACTCACTGGCTGAACCAGGACATTGTTCTTGCCATAGAGCAGGGTGGCCCTGGAGTTCTGATGCAGGGATTCTACATAGTCCCGGGCAGAGATGGATGGCCGGTCATCCATGCTGCCACTCGAATGCCTCTTCTGGATCTGGTATCAGGAGAGGAGAGAGATGCATGAGCCTATGAATGACCTTCGGGGCTCCCACCCTGTTCCCTTCCCCCAAGGCCAAGTCAAGACCCCGTCCAAAGCCCTCCTGCTGCCCGCTCGTCTCACACAGAGTGCTGGCCGCTTGGTGGGCGAGTCCTGTCTCAGATGTGAGCTGTGGATTCGGTGTCTCTGGACCAGCTCATCGGCTGAGGGGTCGGTCCAGAAGTGGTCAGCAGTCTTCATCTTGGTATACTCCAGGGCACAGGGCCCCACTGTGGAGCACACAGGGCTGGGAACCTGGAATCCCTCAAAGTACTCCCTCCCAACTGCCTCAGACCGTTCCCTCTCCTTCCAGGCAGTGAGGAGGTCCCAGGGTCCATCAAGAAGACACCAGAGCAAGAGTCAGGTTCCTGGGCCCCAGGAGCCAAGGACTGGATGCAGTACAGAGCTGACTTACCCAACAAAGATGCAAGGATGGGGCCGTCCACAGGGTCCATCAAGAGAGCCTCCTTCTCATAATATTTACTAGTGGGAAGGAAGGACATGCAGCTCTGCATGGAGACCAGCAGAGGGCGCACGTGGGCAGACTAAGTTCTACACCCCAGGACCCCAGCTCAGGGCCTCAGCTGCAAAGGGGACAATAACTGTATCTTATAGGCTGAGCAAAACGATTGATGGAAGCCGCCTGGCCTGGAGCTCATGGGCACCTGCTCACTGCACAGCCCCGAGGACTTAAAGAGAGCAAAGGAGTCAGAAGCCAGGCTCTCAGGGGATGCAGTCCTTCTGCTACCAAGGCAGTACAACGCAGTCTAGCTGTGGTGTAGACTCAAAGGCTGTGTTAACAGGCTGTCCTACCCTGATGATCAGAACAAATGTCAACCCCAAGTCCCGAATCTCTGAAATATGGCCCGGAGAAATGTGTGATGTCATCAATACGATGTCCGTGCTGAGGGGGAAGCTTGTGAGCGGTGACAGAGGAGCGATTTCCAGTTCCTTGAAAACTCACCTAACACATAACTATTAATAAGGAGATATGGAAGTTAGATGGGCTGGAGGGACGGCTCCACGGTTACGTTCTCACTTGTGGAGGCCCTGGGTTCGATTACCAGCACCCATGCGGTGGCTCACAACGATCCGTAGCTATAGTTACCAGGATGGATGCTGAGCAAGAAGTCTCACACCAGATTAATCTGAGCCAGGGGAGGAAGTGGGTGCGGTTCCCAGAATGGCCATCAGGTGGCGACAGAGCATGGTGGGCCGTGTCTCTCACCTGCTGTTTTCCACCAGATAGTGGACTATTTTGTCCAGGACCCTCTCAAACAGGGCGGTGCGGATCCACAGGTGCTTGATGGCCAGTGGGGACAGGTTGGGCAGCTTCGGCAGCTTCCGAACGTTCTCCTGCAGGCCCTGGATCTGATTTCGCCTTTGAGACCAGAGAGAGGAGAGAACACAGTCAGGAAAGAGGGAATCCACACAACAAGGGCCCTCCTCACTCCTGGTGTTCAGATGAGGGGTGAGGATGAGGATGAGGTTGGGAGTGGTGGTGGGGTGGGTAATGGTGGGAGTGGGGGTGGGGGGACTGGTGGGGTGATGGTGGAGGTGGGTGTTGAGGGTGGGTGGGGGGTGAGGATGGGGGTGAGGATAGGGTGGGGTGATGATAGAGTTGGGGTGAGGATGGGGAGGGGTGATGGCGGAGTTTGGTGATGGCAGGGGTGAGGATGGGGGTGGGGTAGGGGTGGGGGAGAGTGGAAACATCTGGCAGACAGAGGCTAAGGCTGAGCAGAAGACTGTAAGCTCTGCCAGCAGGGAAGCCAGATGCCAGCCTCTGTGCTGCCTCCTCTTCCACAGTCTCTTCCTCTCCCTCGCTTCCCCTCCCTGCCCCTCCTAAAAGGAGTGCTGGCCAAGGAGGCTTAGCTCTTCCAGCCCTTCAAAGACAGCCTGCTGCCCTCAGGAAGGTAGCTGTGTTCTGCAGCCATGAAGGTCCATGGCCTCACCCCACCACCCCACTGCTCCATGGTCCAGCTGGACACAGCCTCTTTCAGCTTCCCATATGGCCAAGTCTCCCAAATCCCTTTTGCTGCAGTTCTCCAGGCTAGGTTAGGTCAACAGATCTGGTTCTGTGTTCAAGTGAGAGACCTTGCCTCAGGGGACAAGGTGGAGAGTGACCAAGAACATTTATGTCAACCTCTGGTCTCCACCCATGGACACACACTCATGTGCCAACATATATGTGCACATGTACATGGACATACCATGCCCACATACATGTAAACATGTATATAGATATACATATCACACACACATGCCCACATATATGTAAATACATATACCGGCATACACATCACACACACACACACACACACACACATACACACAAATAAAACAGGGCATGGTTCCCAGTTGGCACTTAATCTCTCAGTAGTCATCTTGTAGGATGGACCAGGAGCTAGACACTGCCTAGAGACTGGAGGCACAGATGCAGCGGCCTGTTCTCATAGTCTCCGACGACAATTCAGTTCAGGGTTGGGGAATGAATAATGAATGAGCGATTGCAGACAGGAAGACAATTGAGAGTGAAATAAGCAGGATAAGGGGACAGAGGAGGTGGAAGAGGCTGGGATTTACAGAGCTAGTGGGGAGCTGAATGGCAACAAGAACCGGTCATAGGTTAGATTAGAGAGGGCAGAGCATCTGCCAAGGCTCTGGGGTGGGAAAGATCGGTGGGTCTGAGGAAAGCAGAGAGACAGACAGACAGACAGACAGACAGACAGACAGACAGGAGGTGTGTGCTCTCACCAACCTGAGGGGCGATGCACACTGCCCTCCAGGGCTGTCCCAGCTGATGCCCCCCATGCCGCACTCACGCGCTCTCGATGAGTTGCTCCAGATCCTGCACTTTGCGACTCAGCTCTTCAGCTGGAGGGAAGCCTTTGCCCACCTTCATGAAGAGAGCGGCAATCTTGTTGCTTCGTAGGAAGCCAGCGGCCCTCCGCCTCAGCCCGTGCAGCACACAGGCCTCCACTGCCGCTGTGGGGACACAGTGGTCAGTAGCTCTGCCTTGTCTCTCGTCCACACACACCACAGAGAAAATGCACCCATGTCCACTTGTCAGGTGCACCAAAGGAGTCAAGAGAGGTTCGTAGTTAACACACACGGAGACCAAGGTTCCCATCTTTGCTCACATCCTCTGTCAGCCAGCAGTGGCCTGCTGTGTGACTGTGGGTAACGACTCCCTCGCTTTCTGCCTTTGCCTCCCCTTTAGAGGGCATGCAGGACGAGTGGCGATCTATCAGGATGCCATTAGTATAGATGGCAAAGTGCAAGGATGTTCTTAGAGCCTGCACAAAGAACTAGGCATCGCTGCTGCCAAGAAGAGAGACACCAACGAACCTCGCCTGAGTTAAAGAAACACATCACCTGCTGGGTGTTGGTGGCGCACGCCTTTAATCCCAGCACTGGGGAGGCAGAGGCAGGTGGATCTCTGTGAGTTCGAGGCCAGCCTGGTCTACAGAGCTAGTTCCAGGACAGGCTCCAAAACAATACAGAGAAACCTTGTCTCGGGGAAAAAAAAAAAAAAGAGAGAGAGACATCACCATCATCGACATCATAGTCATCATCACTAACCATGTTCATTAGCTGTGGCCATTACCATTATTGTCATCTTCAGTGTTATCACCATCATATCCATCATCGCCATCCTCACCATCATCATCTTCCCCATCATCCTCACCAGCATCACCACCATCCTCATCATCATCACCACCATCATCCTCACCATCATCATCATCACCACCAACATGTTCATCATCTGTGGCCAATGTTATTATTATCATCACTCTCATCATCACCATTGTCTTCATTATCATCCACACTATTATCACCACTGTCACTAAAATCACCAGTGTCACCATCACCACCAACACCACCACCTTCACTACCCTCTCACTATTGTCATCGTCATTGTTACTTATCACCATTGTCCTGGCTGCTTTTATGTCAGCTTACAAGCTAGAGTCATCTGAGAGGAGGGAGCCTCAGTTGAGAAGATGCCTCCATAAGATCAGCTGTAGACATTTCCTTAATTAGTGATTGATGGGGAGGGCCCACTGTGGGTGGTGCCGTCCCTGGGCTGGTGGTCCTGGGTCCTAAAAAAAGCAGGCTGAGCAAGCCGTGAGGAGCAAGCCAGTGAGCAGCTCCCTCCATGGCCTCTGCGTCAGCTCCTGCCTCCAGGTTCCTGCCCTGACTTCCCTGTGATGGACCGTGACCTAGAAGTAGAAGTGGAAATACACCCGCCCCGCAACTTGTTTTGATCCTAGTGTTTATCACAGCAATATAAAGCAAAACAGGACATGCACTCAACAGGAAGAGGCAGAGGTGGGATTTGAACTCAGGTCTGACTGCTACAAAGTGGTGAGGTTCTGGCCCCTAGCATGCGCCACATGTTGTCATTCCCACTGGTGGTGCCCCCAGTCATGTGGATGGAAGTGGGCACACTGGCTACATATCCTTGCTCAGGTATCTTCACAAGGCCATGATCGTTAGAGGGGACCCCACTGTGCACGTCTAATGAGACATTCCCCTAACTAAAGTTGCAACCAGAAAGACAGGAGGTCCCTCTTCAAAACGGACACCCCACCAAGAGCTGGAGGTGGCCTCAGACACAGGGAACCTGTCTCCTCCTGAGCAGGGAGAGCTTACAGAGAGGTCTGAGTCACACTTCAGACCCCGAGACCTCTAGACTCAGTCTGCTAAGTGTGAGTCTCAGGACACCTCAGGGGCTGTTTCCCCACGCACCTAATTATCTGTTACAGGGTCTTCTGTAGCCCAGGCTGGCCTGGAACCAACATGTAGCTGAGAATAACATTACGCTTCTGATCCTCCTTCTTCCACCATTGGAGTGCTGGGGTGACAGGCGTGGCCCCCATGCCTGGATGTATGTGGTGCTGAGGACAGAATCCAGGGCTTCATGCATTTGAGCCAAGCACTCTACATACTGATCTGTATCCCCGACCTTCATCGCCCCTTTAAGATCGTCCCCATCGCCCCTTTAAGATAGTCCCCATTTGCTCCACCCTTCACCACCCCCCCACACTCAGAGCCAGAGGGAGGAGATGACCCAGGCCACCCCTTGTGCCTCAAGGGGATGAGTCAGTGTGGAACAAGCCCTGCTGGTCCCTCCACGGGACACAGGAGGCATCCTCAACCCCTTCTCCTACGGTTCTGCATTTCCAAATCCACTTCCTCCCGCAGAGTGTCTTTGGGATCCCAAAATAACTTCAGAGTCACAGAGCTCACAGGTGTACCTCCCCCGCCGCAGCCCAGCTAGGAAGCCGCTCCCCACTGACTCCACCACTGCAGTCACTGGCCACGTGGCCACCGTGGCCACCACTCACCACAGAAGGAGATGATGTGGCTGCTGTCCTCGTGGACAAACTTTCGGGTAACGGCCTCCTCCATGATCTGTTTCACCTGCAGGATGCACAGGGGTGGGAGAGAATGATCGGATGGGGTGCGGCACCCATCCAATGCTGTACCCCCAGAACTGTCCAAACGCTGTCTTGGGTGTTTGGGTAACCCCTTTTTCCTTCCACAGCCTCTTGGTCTCAGGCAGATCTGTGGCTGGCAGTTACATTTTGCTTAATTTGCATGGTTTATCACCTCTTCCAGATGTCACACAAAACGCCCTCCCTTGCCCGCAGTTTCCAAAGCTTTTCTTGCCCCATCTCAAAGGATGCACTGCTGTTCCTGCTCTGATTCCTCTGTCCTCCTATCTGCATCTCTGCTGCAGAGTACAAGTCCCCCTGCCTTGACCTTTGCCTTATCCACAGTGCATATTAGGTCCTCAATAAAATCTCTTGGATGTGAGGTGAGTTCAAAGATAGAGGAATGGAGGGCAGCCTGGGGGACAGTCAGTTATGGGATCCTGGAAACCTGGGTTCAAACCCCTGCATGGGGATCCAGCAGGTTTGTGAGCTCTGGGAAGTGGAGGCTCAGGAGAGCCCGCCTGCCAGGGAGGGGGACAACAGATGAACATAGAATACCAGCGTGGGTCCCCATCACAGGCTCTGGCTGTCCTCACAGCACTCGGTCCCTGCCATGCACTGTTGAGTGACTCCAGGACACATTCAAGGTCACTTTGGGAAAGGACAGCTGGCCTCGGGAACAGTAAGTGACCTCTGAGGTTTGAAAGCCCTCTGGCTTCCATGGACTTGTACCCCGCTGTACCCAGAGGCATTGTGGAATTCAAGCAAGGCCCTTCTCCCCCGGCCTCAGTCTCCCCACCTTGAGTCTGAGGTCAAAAGGTGATTCAAATGCTTGTGCCAGAAATCCATCACAGGACCTCTAACACAGGACAAAGGAAGCCAAGTCCTGGGCCCCTCACCCCCACCCCACCCCCACCCCACCCAGTGAGGCAGCGTTCTGTTTTCTTACAGCTCGCTGCACACCAGCCTGAGGTGCCCACAGCCCCTGCAGCCCCTGTCTCTTCCTGCAGGTGCACACAGGACAGAGCATTGCCAGCATTGTCACATACATGCCCAGAGGCAGCCTGGCAGTCACAGCCCCTCCACCTGAGTCAGCACCAGCCCCGGAAAGAAGGACTGGCTTGGTGACCAGCGACAGCAGCCGGGAGCCATTCTCAGCTGAACCCCTCCGCGAGGCCCAAGGCATCACCCAGCTTTACAGATGTGACTCTGCGGTTTGAACCCAGGGCCTCACACATGTGAGACAAGCACTCTACCACCGAGACACACCTCCAGCCGAGTCTTTCATGAGCGCTGGGGAAGGAAACCGGAAGTCAGAGGCAGAAGGGCCAACGGGAAAATACACAAATGTGCAAAAATGAAACAGCTTCTCTGCCAGTCCAAGGAATCCCAGGAGACATCGGAAGAGCTCTTGAGATAAATCAGAACAATCACATGGCCTACTAGATGTCAGAGACAGACCTACTAGATGTCAGAGACAGACCTACTAGATGTCAGAGACAGACCTACTAGATGTGAGAGAGACAGACCTACTAGATGATGTAAGACCTACTAGATGATGTGAAACCTACTAGGTGTGAGACCTTCTAGATATGAGACCTACTAGATACAGGAGAATACTCTGAGGGGAAAATACAGTGGGGGACCATGATGTTAAAAAGGAGGACTTACCTTTACTTCTTAGGAATTAGCAAGCAGGAAGAAATAAACCCAAGGCAACAGAAAGAAGGAGATAATAAAGACTGAAGCAGAGATGAAATGAGATACTGGGCCAGTGAGATGTTCTTGCTGCCAAGCCTGGCTATCTGAGTTCGATTCCCATGGAGCCACATGGTGGAAGGAGAGAATGGACTTTTGCAAGTTGTCCTCTGACCTCTGCATGCATACCGTCACACAATAAATAATGCAAGAAAAGCAAATGAGAAATGAAAGAGATCGGAGGGCTAGACTTGGTTGGGCGGTAGCTTTCTGCCCCTGCATGGGTGTGGCTCTACCAGGCTGATGTCCTCTGAGTTCTGGACCAGCCTTTCCCCCCAAGCTGGTCTAGCCTGCGACAGCTGAGGGACTCTGCTAACTGGCTGACACTCCCCACATTGTGATGCTCCACGTCTCTGCAATGACTGCTGTGTCTTAGGCAGGTGTGGTTTTGCTGCGATGCCCTCCTGTTTTTCAGAGGCGGCCATCTGCCTGTCCCCCTAGGGCTACTATGACGCAGCAGCTCCGTTGCCTGCCTGTGTGCAGAGACACCAGGCCCCATCTGCTCTGTGTGCCCAAAGGAAGTCATGAGCCTCCTCAGGATATGTGGCAGGTCCCCAGCTTTCTCTCAGGGCTGGGGTGGGGGAAGGGGGCAGGCAAAGAACCAGCCTTGGTAAGTTCTGCAGTGGGTGCCCTCAGACCTTCTCCACTCTGCTTTCTAGAATGTTCTCTCACACCCCAAACTCTCTCGCTGTGGCAGGTCACCTCCCTGACTGGTTTTGTGCTGGCTGTGTTGTGTCTGCTTTCCCCCAGACTGGTTATTTTAAAACACCGCCTTCTACAAACTCCAAATATGATCATATTTGGAAAGAAAATGTTTGCCCCTAATCTAGTCTGAGCAGTGTCCTCATATGAAGAGGGAAATAGGGACACAGGACAGACAGTCCAGAGGGAAGATGACATCTAGAGGCTGAGGAGAGAAGTCTGGACGGCCCTTCCTTCATAGCCTCCAAAACTTCAGCATAGTCCTGCTCTGTGCGTCCATCTGTCTGCGGTATTTTGTTACAGCAGCTCAAACAAATGAGAGTACCATCCTTCGCAGCATCAGGACCATGCCCTCCTCATCTCTGTACCTTTCAGTACATTGCCTGAACCAATGAGTCACCCAGCTCCTGAGCATCCCCTCTTCCCACGGTAGCCCAATTCTGGTGTCCGTGGGGGGTATAAGAACTGGAACCACTGTCCCCTGGGGCAGTTCTGAAGGGCCTTCCCAGTTCCCCCCATCCCAGACATCCACAGAGGGACCACAACCCTTTGCCCACATCTGCTCATGCCACTCCCTGGGTACTGAACTCATCTCCATCCAGAACAGCTGAACTGCACTGCAGAGTGTGGTAACCAGAGGTAAGAGAATCATGGGGAATGACAGGGACCAGAAGACCACCCCACAATCACAGCCAGGTGGGAAGAGCCCTCTGTCTTATTGGTCAGATCTGAGTGCAAGACATGGAGAGAGTGAGCTGTGAGGATGGAGCCGTCTTGGAGGCTTTGGGGACAAAGATCTGGGCTGGATAAGAAGCGCAGGGAACCACAGAGGTTCATCTCAACTCTTGGTCCTTCCCCCAGACTCACGTTACATGACCCAGGATAGAAATATTTACTAGTGGGGCAGTTCTCACCCATGCTCAAACTGCATTGGAACATCACAAATGAAGGGGAGATGGATTTCCACACCCTTTTTCCAGGGAGAAGAGGGGCAGGCGCTATGAGAGAAGACATCAACCAAGCTCACCCAGCAAGGAAGGAACCTTGTCCGAGTGCATTCCTGCATGGTTGCCTCCTGAGCCCTCTTCTGCTCGCCATCAAGGTCATCATGAAGGATGCTGCTGGTTCCTGGTCCCTGCTGTTCCTTCACCTACCTGAGAACTAACTCCCAACCGCCTTCCCTCTCTCTAACCAACAACCTCTTTATTAAACTCGTTTTCCCCAGAGCAGTTTCAGGGAACCATCTGTTTCCTATGGGCACCTTGACCAGACTGTCACGCACACACTGAATCAAGTCCAAAGCCATCTGTTGACAGCTATGAAAGGGAACTCAGAGAGGTTGAGCCCCTTTCCTGAGGTTGCCCAGCACAGAGCCCAGGGTTGTCACCTGGGGTGGGTTGGGGGATGGCAGAAGGACTGCAGCAGCAGGAGTGGGTGCCACTGAGATCCTCCTAACTGTGCTGATCTCCCAGGTCTAGCTAAATGACTTCACAGAGGTTAATGGCAGGCTCAGCCCGAGGCCAGGGAAGGAAATTAAGAAGGTTGGTGAACAGCAGCAGGGGGGAAGCCTCCCTCCCACAGAAGGTCACCGAGCCTGCAGAGGAGGGCACTGTCTTCACACAGGAGACATGAGGCCATGCCGACTCTAAGGGAGAGAAGCCCTCTGCACAGACCAGGGGCAGGGCAGTCTGGGGGAGGATAGCTGGAGGCCAAAGCCCTATTTTACCTTGGCAGGCTCCCAGGTGTCAACCCAGAAGATCTAGGTTCATGAAGCCCAGGATTGCTGGGGTGGCCCTGGGGTGACATTCTGATCCTTAGGGACGACGGGGTTTTCTAAGCTTTGATCTCGAGCATGCAGGGTGATGGAGATGCCACCCCAGAGCCACACAGACCTCGTCTGAGCTTGCTAGTCCCACCCAGCTGGGTCCACTCTGCTGGCATCTCAGGGTGCTCTTCTGTGACATGGGACTCCACACTGCTGCCACGAGGACAACACGGAGGAAAGGGCCGTCAAGGCACCATAGCACACAGTAGGCACTTATTTGTTTCTGAGGAAGGGTCTCGTGAAGCCCTGGCTGGCCTCAAACTTTCTATGTAGCTGAGGGTGACCTTGAACTCCAGATCCCCCGTCTCCACCACCCAAGTTTTAGGATTACAGGCCTGAATTCCCCACTCCTGTTGTGTGTGGTGTTATGGATGGAATCTGGGGCCTCCAGCTCACCGTCAACTCTACCAACTCAGCTACATCCCCAACCCCACACTCTCCCAGCACACTCCAGAGACTATGTGCAACTACAACTATCCTAGTAAGGGTTCAGTTTCCTTTACAGGTAGGGAAACTGAGGCATGGGATTTGTTTTCTTTTTTAGGTAATTCACCCAAGGTCTGAGGAGAATAATCCAGGGTCCTTGTGTCACAACAAGCTACTGTTCGGTTTTAAGGAAGAGAGAGGTTTTACTGAGCATGTACTATGGCCTCGCTGCTTGTGGACAACACCTTCTGAGATGCTCACACTGGCATCATTAT